CATCCACTCCAAACGGTCATGGCGGCCGTGGCTTGAAGGACGCGCTTGCAGTACCTCTCGTCCACGAGATCACGTATAGCGGCTATGTCGAGAGGAGGTGATGCGCGCTCCAAGCGCTCACAGACCTGCGGGTCCCGTATGTCAAAAGTACTTGAAGATCATGCGGGGGCAGCGAGAGGCTGCATGCGTAGCCAATTAGCATTTCGGTGGCCATGCAGGCCATGCCGCGACGAGCATGCACAGTGTCGCTCGAAAGGGGAGGGGGGGGAGCACTGGTCCACATCGCATCGCGCATAGGCGGCTCTTCAGGCTCCTGCGCCAGCGGGTCGTCGCCGCTTGGCTCGCCCGTCTCCTCACTGTGGTCGGCGTAGACGTACCCGACCGCGTTGGGGATGTCGATGGGTGGGCCGAAGGGCAAGGCATCCATTGCCGCCCTGACGCCCTGGAACTCCGCATCTAGAAGGTGGACATTCTCGGAGAAAGGGTCGCCGAGCTGGTCCACCAGCGGCTTCGAGCTGGGCGGCAGCATGCCTGTGCACCAGAAACACTTTTAAATTGTGCGGGTGTCCATTCCGATCGTCGAGTCAGATATATACTCAATGACGCTAGTCATGTCGGGACGGAAATTCAGCAGCTCATTGACAATCATGCGCGGCTTGGCCCACTCGAGCAGAACGCGGCGAAGCAGGGCCGTCTTGTACTTGGCCTTCAATGCAGCCATGATCCCCTGGTCAAGCGGCTGGAAGAAGGGGGTGGTGTTTGGTGGTAGGTAGACCAACCGCACGTTCGAAAGTGCGCGAGTTCGAAAGCCGCATATATCGACGGTCGTCCTCAGGTCTTCAGTGTGTGGCTGGCGGCGTTGTTGATCAGCACGATGATGTGCCGCCCTCCGCCATGCAGCATGCGTTGACGGTCTCGAAGTGGGCTGTGAAGACCTGAGGGCGGGGGGAGGGGAGAGGGATGGGCACAGAGTTTCATCAGTTTTGGGCTTACGAAAACAATTCGCACCGGTCGCATGTATAACAAAATGCAATCATGGGCGCGCATACGTCAGCGGTCATCCAACCCTTGGCATTTGCACGCCAAGGACACTACTTCGCGGGGTTGGAATCCTCTCTCGCGAAGCTGCGCGGGCGCTCAAACTGATGGATTATGAGGGGTTTGTAGATCATCGAACCCGTCGCGTACATCAGCAACGCCACAGTGAGGCGGTACTTCGCCGTCTTCTTTCCCGGGATCGCATCTTCGGAGAAAGTGTGCTCGGACAGCATCGCCCGATACAGACAAGTCTTTTCGAAGTCGAACAACCGCTCAGGACGCAGGCTGAGGGTTTCGCATAGCCGCGGGAAGTGCAATCTGGCGAATAGCGCGGCTTCCACATCAGCCGGTTTCGCCTCACTAGACATTTTCCATGCGCCCCAAAGCCTTGAAGTCTTTGTGCACGCTGCAATCGGGAGCAAGGGCGAGAGCACGCTGCCGTATGAGCGAGAGAGTGACAGGCAGGCCAGCGCGGTTGACGCCTCGAAGCTAGGTATGGAGAATGTCCTCAAGCACGGGCCAGAAGGCATTGCGCAACATTTTCAGTTTGGTGCTTCAGGGCCCAGCGCTTTCCAATGCGCCTCGTCCTTGATGATTTTGGATATTGTGTTGCGGTCAGGCCATAGGCCGTATCTCGTACGGCACCACTGGGTCAGGTCGGCTAGGCGTTGAATGGGGTGCTTGGGAGTACTCGCAGATGGAGATCTTATGGGCAACGGTGATTGACGTGCGGCGTACATGTGCCATCGCACCTGCCCTTGGAGTGCACCGTTGTTCGTTCCCCTCCTCTCATAAATATGCCCGGAAATGGCTGCAACGACCTTCGTCGTCTTGACATTGTGATACTGGGCGTCCACCCTGGCACGACGTCATTGGGCTTGGTTGACGAACTTCGTTCGTCACTGCACCTGGCATGCGGCGATTCGTTGTCGCCATGCTAGCTAGGTCAGGTTTTGATTACGTGGATCTGCACTGGTTTATTGGTGGGAGCCTCAAGTTCTTTGCGATTGGGTTTGGTCGTCAACCACTCTGCTTATTTATATATATATAATCAAACTCGGGTTTACTGGTTTGGCTAAAAATCTTACTCGCTGACGGTGTAGCATTGTCATTGGCTGGTTGTAGCATTTTCCGTGCGTATATGGGGTATGCACCTACGGGAATTTGCAACTGCGAAAAAATTGCGCCTGTCTTCGTTGCACCAGTTGCGTATGGCTTGTATTGGGACGCTGGTAGATTGGGCCAGGAATGCGCCCTTAGGTTTTGATCCCTACAGGTTTTGAGACGCGTGCTTTGCGAACCGATCCTTCGCCTCGGCCCAAACCACTCACGCGAAGCGAAGGGTCGGAACGCCTCGGCCCTTCGCTTCGCGCCACTCACGCAAACGTTCGCGCGTTACCCAATCACTATGTTTGTGCGGACGCACCTTCGTTCACTAATTGGGTACTGCACTGTTATTTTCCAACAGCTGAGTGGAGCAGTAAGGTTGTCAGGTGCATGCGTCTGCGTTGTCAGACTTACAGCATCTACTCTCCACTGTCCACCCGTTCCATTCTCGTCGCTCGTGTTCTTGAGAACAGGCGGGAATGGCAGCGACTGCAGCGGTTCTCACGCCGACGCGCGCATTGCTCCCGTCGCGGACTACGCGCGAGGCGGTGAAGCTGCATCCTCGGCGTTTGCCAAATTCTCTTATTTCCGGCACTAGGAAGCACGGGCAGTCAAATCGCTCGTTTTCCCACCCTCCGCGAAATGCGGAGAATGGTCCGCCGTTCCTAGCCGTAACACCTGAGAAGCGCTTTTTAACCGGAAAATCCCTAACTCCGCAGTCGCGTTCCAGCCTATATGGCTCTTGGCTCGCCGCTTCTCGCGGTCTGGTTACCGCGAAGGCAGCTCCAGGCGGGACCGTTGCAGCAGCGGCAGTTGCGGCGGATTTGGCGGTGACGAAGAGCGCGAAAGCTGCGGAATTCGAGCGGACGCCGGGATGCCGGCGATACGTGTACCACGTGGAGGGGGGCGGCCAGGTGAGCGGAAGGGGGAGGTCAGGTGAGAGAAGGGGAGCGAAGGCTGTAGAGGGGAGAGGGAGGAAACGAGGGGCGAAACGACCTTTAGAGCCTTCGCTCCCCTGTACAGGCTCCCCTGTAAAGGGGAGAGGGAGGAAATGAGGGTTGAATGATGTGGCGGAGATCACCAACGTGAGAAAACCTTTTCAATATGCGGGAAAATTTCAATGTGAGAAAATAGCCATGTGAGGGACATTCTCATGTGAGGAAAATTGCAATGTGAGGGGAATCGGGAATCTCTATGTGAGGGAATGTTCAGTGAAAGGTCAACCGCAATGTGAAGGCTCTACTCTACTCCAGTGTGAGGAGGAAGATCTCAGTTGACTCACGAGTGAATGCTGAGAGGCGCATCTGCAGAGGGTGAATGGTGGATGCGGTGTCGAGGGGTGCTGCTGTAGAGAGTGCATGATGGATGCGGTGCAGAGGCGTGCTGCAGAGAGTGACTGATGGACCTTGAGATGTCTCAGAATGAACGGCTGACCTCCCATCTGGCCATTGCAACACATGCCCGCTCCCATCGCCACATGCAGGTGACAGCATCCGTGGTGGAGCACAGGGGTTGCTTCGATCGATGTGCTGCTGGGCTGAAAAAATGCCTTCTTCTGAAAAAATGCCTTCGATTCGATCGAATCTACTAGTACTACTACAGCAGGTCCATTCCTCTCCGCCCCCTCCTCCTGCAGGTGACGGCTTACGTGGTGGAGCGCAACGGGTGTTTCGACGTGCTGCTGGACGTGGCTGCTGCCGACATGCAGTGCAACCACGACCTGCCGCTCTGCATCCACTGGGTATGTCTCTCGGCATCTCTGTCTGTCTGTCTGTCTGTCTGTCAGTCAGTCACCTGGCGTTCGCTGTGCTGCCGAATGTGCTTCGACGTGCTGCTGGGCGTGCCTGCTGCCGACATGCAGTGCAGTGCAACCACGACCTGCCGCTCTGCATCCACTGGGTATGTCTCTCGGCATGTCTGTCTGTCTGTCTGTTTCTCTGTCTATCTGTCAGTCACCTGCCGTTCGCTGTGCTGCCGAATGTGCTTCGACGTGCTGCTGGGCGTGCCTGCTGCCGACATGCAGTGCAACCACGACCTGCCACTCTGCATCCACTGGGTATGTCTCCACATGCATGTCTGTCTGTCTGTCTGTCTGTCCGTCCGTCCGTCTGTCCGTCCGTCCGTCCGTTCGTCTGTCCGTCCGTCCGTCTGTCTGTCTGTCGGTCACCTGGCGTTCGCTGTGCTGCCGAATGTGGCTGCTGCCAACGTGCAGTGTACCCACGACCTGCCGCTCTGCATCACTGGGTGTGTCTGTGTGTCCGTGTGTCTGTGTGTCCGTGTGTCTGTGTGTCTGTGTGTCCGTGTGTCTGTGTGTCTGTGTGTCCGTGTGTCCGTGTGTCCGTGTGCCTGTGTGCCTGTGTCTCTGTGTGTCTGTGTGTCTGTGTCTGTGTCTGTGTGTAGGCATGAGCAACCGAGTCGAGTTTTGACTCGACTCGGTGACTCGACTCGCCCTAAAGGGCGAGTCGAGTTTCTTTTTTTACTCCTCTGACTCGGCCTGAGTCGAGTCGGGTCGAGTCGACCGAGTTTCGAGTTTTGCTCGACTCGGTCTGGGAATTTGCACCGAGTCGCACCCGAGTCGAGTCATAAATTGGCTCGACCGAGTCGAAATTCACTCGGGACGTTTCTCTTAGATATTGGACAGGGGAATTTCGTGTTACGCGACTAGAAACGCGTTTGGCGTTTTAGACGCCAGTGTTTAAACGCTAAACGCTTGATTTCTGGCCTAGCAAACATTGAATATACGCTCGAACCGGCAGGCGGAAAAAAATCCGGGCAACTAAGGGTCTAGGCTTAGCGAGAGGTAAGTTCTAGGAGGCGATATGGTGGCTTCTCAAGCTAAAATTGGTCAGCGGAATTGACGAGACAGGGATAGCGCGGAATAAGGTTAGAGCATGTTAAATGGGCGGGGTTGGTTGGATTCCGTAGTTGCAGATGGGTTCAGTGCGGTTGAAGTGGGGGAATCTGGTGAGAATTCGACTGTAGAGAGCACATTAGACGGTGGGGGTTTGGATTTCGTAGTGGCAAACGAGTTCAGTGCGGTTGAATTGGGGGAATTCGGTTGGAAGTCATTTCCAGGCGAGAATGTTGACAATCGCGACTTGGCGACATTTCAACTTCCAACCACATTCCCCCCTCCAACCGCTCCCAACCTTATTTCAACTAGAAAACCCAGCCTCCCCACACTCTCTCCTCTAAGAGGGAACACGCTATCCCAGTAGGGAGGATGGAGCGTCCGAAAGGTGTAGGGCGAGATCTGATACAAGGCGCTGACATTGATGTGCCGACATGGTCAGGTAGAGGGCCAGAGGTGGGTATGCCCGTAACCAAGTCGAGTTTGACTCGACTCGGGTCGAGTCAGGCCCTGACTCGGGCGAGTCACTCTGACTCGCCCCCCAAAGTCCGAGTCACAAGTCAGAAACTTGGGGAAACCGACTCGGGCCGACTCGGGTCAGACTCGACTCGGTTTTAGCTCGACTCGGTTCCTTTGCTCATGCCTATCTGTGTGTCTGTGTGTCCGTGTGTCTGTGTGTCTGTGTGTCTGTGTGTCTGTGTGTCCGTGTGTCGGTGTCTGTGTGTGTCTGTGTGTCTGTGTGTCTGTGTGTCTGTGTGTCTGTGTGTCTGTGTGTCTGTGTGTCTGTGTGTCTGTGTGTCTGTGTGTCCATGTCACGCCGTAGCACGCGCATGACTGATCACACTCAGTAATTCCCTGCCGGTCAGATCCAGCCTTTTGGATTCTCTGCTGGATCCAGCCTTTCGGATTCTCTGCTGGATCCAGCCTTTCGGATTCTCCCTCATTTCATCTCTCAACCTGCCTTGCTGGATTCTCAGCCTCACTGCATTCCGCCTTCCCCTTCCGTCACTGCCTCTCTCCAGGGCATTTTCCGCTCTGACCGCTCCATTTGGTTCCTTCTGAACGACTCCCAGACACCGCCGGGCACCGTTTTCCTCAGAGGAAAGTGAGTTCTGCTTTTGCCAGGGGAAAGCGAGTGGTGCACTTGCCAGGGGAAAGCGATCGCTGTGTTCTAGTCCCCTTGGCATCCTTCCCACGTCCGTGTGAGGACGATTTTCTGGATTCTGAGATCAAAGCCTGCTCTAGGAGAAACCCACGCCCTCCCCCCCCCTTCACTGCTCTAGGAGAAGCTCATGTCATTCTCTCTCAGGTTTTGGGATCCTTCAAGGACCAAACACACTCCCAAGCTGCCGCATCTCCATACCCTTCTTCCCCCACTCCCCCACGTGCCCCCCGCCCCCCCTGCTCCCCTCCCCAAAGGACGGACGCCATGCGCACAGTCCTGCAGGAGGACCCCACGCCGGGCCACCTCTCCCTCACGCTCTCCTTCGATGCGGAGCTGGCCCCCTTCTCCCTCAACCTCGTGCTCTTCCAGCCGTTCAGCGGCGTCAGCGGGTCTGGCATCGGGGACAAGTCCCTGGAGGGGCTCTGGCTCAGGTCGGTCGCTCCGTGCTGCTCTGGTCAGGTCAGGTCGCTCTGGGCTTCCCCGGGCCCGTAGGCTGCACTGCACAATGTCGCTCAGGTCAGTGGCGTGAGCGGCGCCGGCATCGGGGACAAGTCCCTAGAGGGGCGGTGGCTCAGGTCGGTTGCTGGATTGACTAGGTTGACTGGGTTGGAGCAGTGGTGCTTTGAGTGCAGCTCGCTCCCTTCTCAGTCAACCTCGTGCTTTGAGTCCAGCCGCTGGATGGTTGGGATGGTTGGGATGGTTTGTTTGGACGGTTGGGATGGTTTGTTTGGACGTTTGGGATGGTTTGTTTGGACGGTTGGGATGGTTGGGATGGAGAGGTGCTTATGAGCCGACTCAAAGGGGACTGGGGGGGGTGGTGCTGGCATCGTAATGCCAGTGGAGCTTTGCCTCAAAGCACCTTTTTCCCTCAATTTGAGTGCTCTTCCCCTTTGCCTATCTCAGGCTGCGGTGATCCCTCTCTCTTCCCCTTCGCTCATCCCAGGAAACGACTTTTGAGGCGCCTCAAAAGTTATCCCAGGAACTCCCGCCAGATGGATCTGTGTGCGCCCATCGGCATCGGCATGGGCCGAGGCACTCCCAGCCCTGTAGGTGCTGTTCCCCTGGAATCTCATCTCGATCCTTCTTATCCCCCTCCCCCCCCTTCCCCCTCCGCTCCCCCTAGGAACTCCCGCCAGATGGATCTGTGTGTGCCCATCGGCATGGGCAGGGGCAGCCCCACCCCTCTGGGCGCCACTCCTAAGGCTGACGGGTCGGTCAACTTCGCCGTCTACTCGCGCTATGCCGAGGGCGTGGCGCTGTGCCTCTACCTGCCTGACGACGCTCAACCCACGGTAGGGGTTCCGGGGTGCAGTGCAGGGTTTGGGGTTTTGCACCCTAAACCAAAACCCACGGTAGGGGTTCCGCGCAACCCTAAACCCTGAGAATTTAGAGATGTTTTAAGGTGCCACACCCCAAGCCTGATGGTTCGATCAACTTTGTCGTCAACTCCCCATACGCCAAGGGCGTCGCACTGTGCCAGTCCCTGCCTGACAATGCTCAACCCACCACGGTAAGGGTTCTGGGGTGCCGGCCAGCTGTGAAGTCCATGCTTTATGCTCAACATCCAAGTCTTCTAGGCTGGCCAGCTTTGCCCTCTATTCCCGATACGCCGAGGGCGTGGCTGGCACTGCGCCTCTACCTGCCCGGCGACGCTCAACCCACGGTAAGGTTTCTTTCTGGGGTGCCGGCTGTGGAGTTACTTTTGAGGTGCCTCAAAAGATGGTAAGGTTTCTTTCTGGAGTGCCAGCTGTGGAGTTACTGTGCACTGTGCCTCTCTCAACCTGCGTGATGATGCTCAACCCACGGTAGGTGCCTTGATGCGGTACCCACTCCCCCCGCCTGCTCCTTCTTAGTCCCTCCTTCTTTTGTGAATTCCTCTGCCCTCCAGTCCCCTCCCCCCATCCCCTCAACCCAGCCCACAGCTTCCCCCTCTTCTTGAGGCGCCTCAAAAATAGACTCCCCCCCTCAACCCCGCAACCCACCCTACACCTTCCCCCTCTTCTCCCCCCCTCCCTCCCGCCCCGCACCCCCACCCTCCCATCACGATTCGCTTTCACAGCTGGAGATGGATTTTCAGCCGTGTCCTTACCCGCATGAATGGTTCCTCGCTCCTTCACCCCCTTCTCTCCTCGCCCCCTCCTCCCCCCCCGTCCCCCCCGTCCCCCCGTCCCCCCCGTCCCCCCATCCCCCCCGTCCCCCCCGTCCCCCCCGTCCCCCCCTTCCCCCCGTCCCCCCCGTCCCCCCGTCCCCCCCTTCCCCCCCGTCCCCCCCTTCCCCCCCGTCCCCCCGTCCCCCCCTTCCCCCCCGTCCCCCCCTTCCCCCCCTTCCCCTCCTCCCGTCCTCACTCCCCCATACGCAGCTGGAGATCGATCTGGAGCCGTCCATCCACCGCACGGGCGACGTGTGGCACGTCAGCATTGACGCTGCTGACGTCAGCAGCTTCACTCGCTACGGGTACCGCGTCAAGGTGAGGCGAGAGGGGGTGTTGGAAGTAGATGGGTGCATGCTCTCGCCTTGACCCTCGCCTTGACCCTCGACTTGACCCTCGACTTGACCCTCGCCTTGACCCTCGCCTTGACCCTCGCCTTGACCCTCGCCATGACCCCCACCCATCTACGGGGTGGAAGTAGATGGGTGCATGCCCTGTGCCTCTTCCCCTCTGAATCTTTCTTTTGTGTTTTTTGCCATCATCTGCTGCTTCTCCCCACCCACCCCAATCCTTCATGACATCACGGTGCTGCTGCCACGCCATCCTTCTCAGGGCGACCCCGACTGGGAGGGCGGCAATCGCTTCCATTCCCGCCTGGTGCTGCTGGACCCCTACTCCAAGGAGATGGCCCCGCATGTCGCAGGGCAAGGTGTGTGTGTGGGTGGGTGAGTGGATGGGTGGGTGTGTGGGTGGTTGGGTGGATGGGTGTGTGTGTGTGTGTGGGGGGGGGTGTGTGTGCACGCACGTACGCATGCGTGTGTGTCTCGGTCTGTATCCTGCTGGGCCCCTACGCCAAGGAGATGGCTCCGCATGTTGCTGGGCAAGGTGTGTGTTTCCTGTGCTTTCAGGAATTCACATAAACGTCTATACACATGTACGTCCATCAACATGTGTTTGTACGTCGATCAACATGTGTTTGTACGTCGATCAACATGTGTTTGTACGTCGATCAACATGTGTTTGTACGTCGATCAACATGTGTTTGTACGTCGATCAACATGTGTTTGTACGTCGATCAACATGTGTTTGTACGTCGATCAACATGTGTTTGTACGTCGATCAACATGTGTTTGTATGTCGATCAACATGTGTTTGTACGTCGATCAACATGTGTTTGTACGTCGATCAACATGTGTTTGTACGTCGATCAACATGTGTTTGTACATCGATCAACATGTGTTTGTATGTCGATCAACATGTGTTTGTACGTCGATCAACTTGTGTTTGTACGTCGATCAACATGTGTTTGTACGTCGATCAACATGTGTTTGTACGTCGATCAACATGTGTTTGTACGTCGATCAACATGTGTTTGTATGTCGATCAACATGTGTTTGTACGTCGATCAACATGTGTTTGTACGTCGATCAACATGTGTTTGTACGTCGATCAACATGTGTTTGTATGTCGATCAACATGTGTTTGTACGTCGATCAACATGTGTTTGTACGTCGATCAACATGTGTTTGTACGTCGATCAAAAAGTGTTTGTACGTCGATCAACATGTGTTTGTACGTCCATCAACATGTGTTTGTATGTCTATGAACAAATGTATCCGTGCCTACAATCTCCTTTCCCCTGTACTCTAACCTCCCGTGTGTCCCATCCCTCATCTCCCCCCTCCCCTACTCCCCACCAGAGGGCGGGCCATCGCCAGCAGCACCGCTAGCCCTTGCACGGGATTTTTTTAGAAATCTCAAAAGTTTTTTTACAATTCTAAAAAACCAATGCTAGCAGCACCGCTAGCCTCCATCCCACCTACCCACCACGCAAGAACCTCCCCTCGACTGGGAAAATGAATTCTGAAGCGCGTCCAAGCCCCCTCTTTCTCCTCTCTTGCCCCTCCCAATCGATTTCCCTACCTGCTGCTGTCATCCCCCAGAGGAGCTTCCATCACCGGCAGCGGCGCTGGCCGCAATCCCCTCTGTGCAAGGGCCTGCTTTCGACTGGCTAAATGCATTTCAAAGCACGTCAAAGCCCTCTCTTCCCCCCCCCCCCCCCCTCTCCCCCCTCTCCCCCGTATTTTCCCCCATGCTGCTGCCGTGAACCACCAGAGGAGCTGCCATCACCGGCAGCGGCGCTGGCTGTCATCCCCTTTGTGCAAGAGCCTGCCTTTGACTGGCAGGACGACTTCCCCCCCAAGTAAGGCTGGTGCATGACCTTCTTGGTTTAGAGTCTCGCCCCTGAATTTGCACTGCACTGCAGCATTTCTTCTGAGGATGGAATGGCACTGAAGTCGCAGTGTGTCACCACTGGATTCCGTCCGTCCTTCCTTCCTTCCTTCCTTCCAGTAAGAACATCCCATCAGGGAACCTGCTGTTGTGCAGGCTGAACGTCGCTGCACTGCATTTTCACGGATGACGGCAGCACTGTGGTGTGGTGTGGTGTGGATGGCATGTGAAGGACATGTGTCACGCGAGCATGCGAGCAGCATGAGCATACGTAACTGCTTTCCAGCATCACGGAGCAGCCAGCCACCTGCCCTCCAACATCCCCTCAGAGCAGCTGGCGGTGTACCGCCTGAACGCTGCTGCATTCACGGCAGAATGGGAACGGGCGTTTGTGTGTGGGTTAGAGATGGGCAAAAAAAATCGCATCGCATCGCATTTAATCGCATTTTTGCGATGGCGATGTTTTATTATTATTATTATTATTATTATTATTATTATTATTATTATTATTATTATTATTATTATTATTATTATTATTATTATTATTATTATTATTATTATTATTATTATTATTATTATTATTATTATTATTATTATTATTATTATAATCATCGCGCGATGCGATGAATTGTATCGCGCGATTTAATTTTAATCGCATTTTAATCGCGCTAAAAACGCGATTTAAATGCGATATGTGATTTTTAAAAAATCGCGCGCGATATTGCACTGAAACCCACTCTGAAACCCACTACAAAACCACACTGGTTATTTGCACTCTAGCTTACGACTGCCCGTGAGTCGATTTCCCCGCAGCCATGTTTTTTTTTCTTTTTTTTTTGTGTGTTTTTTTATTCTGTTTTAAAACGCGGTGCGATTTAAAATCGCATTGCGCGATTTAATTAAATATCGCATGCGATTTTGTAATACATCGCGGGTAAAATGCGATTTGCGTTTTTTTTTTTTTTTTTTTTTTTTTTTATAAATAAATCGCGCGATGCGATTTAAAATCGCATCGCTTTTTTAAACAGCGCACATGCATGCGATGCGATTTAAATCGCAATCGCGTTTTGATCTTGTCTAGTGTGGGTGGGATGTAGACATGAGCAACGAGGCGAGGAATTCCTCGCCTCGGAATTCCTCGCCTCGGAATTCGGCTATTCGAGGATTCAAACTCGGCGAAATTCCTCGCCGAGGATTCCTCGCCTCGCCTCGCCGAGGATTCCTCGCCTCGCCTCGCCGAGGAAACGAGGATTCGGGTTTCCTCGGGTGCGGAATGTCGAGGAATTTCATTCCTCGCGAGGAATTTTTGCCTCGCGAGGAAAAAATCCTCGTGTCATTTTTTTCCAGCGCGCCTCGGAGCGCGCTGGTACAAACACCAAAAATGGGGGGTCTGCCGGGGTTTGGTCATGCACAAATTAGAAAGCATGGGCTGTGCATGGCATAAACTGCCCTACTGGACTAGCCATATGGTTAACATTAGTGCTGCCCGGGGGTGGGGGGCGACTTTGGTAGCAAAGGTGTACAAAAACAGTCGTTCCTCTAGGTGTTTTGTACATTTCTGCCTAATTCCCAACAAATTTGCCAAAACGAGGCGAGGATTCCTCGCCTCGGGGCGAGGAATTTTCCCTCGGGGCGAGGAAAAAAATCCTCGCCCCCTAAACCCGAGGGACGAGGACTTTTTTTCCCCAAAATTCCTCGGCGAGGAATCCTCGCCTCGCCTCGTTTGGGGGGCGATGGTTGGAATTCCTCGGCGAGGAATCCTCGCCTCGCCTCGTGCTCATGTCTAGTGGGATGGGAGCCTAACCAAACCAATGCTCGCTCTTCCTCTCCTGTCTGTCACCCTTTCTCCAGCATCCCCCCAGAGCAGCTGGTGGTGCAGCAACTCAAGGGCGACAGACAGGAGAGGAAGAACGAGCAGCAAAACTACTGTTTCCCCTTTCTCTCCTCTCCCCCCCCCCCCCTCCCACCCCCAGCATACCACCAGAGCAGCCGGTGGCGTACCGAGTCAACGTCGCTGCATTCACGGGGGCGACAGCAGTAGGAATGGGCATGTGTGTTTGTTAACTAACCAAATCACTTCCTCGCTTCCCATCTCCACCACCCCTCCCCCTCTTCCCCTCCCCCCCCTTCCCAGCATCCCACCAGAGCAGCTGGTAGTCTACCGACTCAACGTCGCTGCATTTACGGCGGACGACAGCAGCGGCGTCAGCGAGGCGGGCCAAGGGACGTTCCTGGGCGTGCTGGAGAAGGTCGACCACCTGCTGGCCCTGGGTGAGAGGTTGAGGGATCAAGGTTCAGGGTTAGGGTTCGGGCTTTAGGTTCAGGGTTTAGGCTTTCGGGTTTAGGCTTTCGGGTTTAGGCTTTAGGGTTTAGGAGGCTTGCATTTGGGTTTATGACAGCAGTGGCGTCAGTGAGGCGGGCAGAGGCACCTTCCTCAGTGTGCTGGAGAAGGTCGACCGCCTGCTGTCCCTGGGTGAGGGCTATCTTGGGTGAGGGCTATCTTGGGTGAGGGCTATCTTGGTTGAGGGCTATCTTGGGTGAGGGCTATCTTGGTTGAGGGCTATCTTGGGTGAGGGCTATCTCGGGTTCAGGTTCAGGGTTTATGGTTCAATGTTAATAGCTGGCGACAGCAGCGCACCACTGAGATGGGCAGAGGCATGGTTTTCTTTAAGTTCTGAATTTTTCAATCTAGGTTTAGGCTTTAGGGTGTAGGGAGGTCGGAGTTGGGTTTATGACAGCAGTGGCATCAGTGAGGTGGGCAGAGGGACCTTTCTTGTTGTGCTGGAGAAGGTCGACCACCAGCTGTCTGTCACTGGATGAGAGTGGTTCAAACGGTTTAGGGTTCGATCTCTGGGTTTGTGACAGCAGTGCGGTCAGTGAGGCGCGGGCAGAGCTGCAGAGGCACCTTCATCTGTGGCTGGATTAGGTCGACCACCTGCTCTCACTTGGTGCGAGAGGTCAACGGGCTGGACTTAATGCTCAATGAGGTAGGGTCAGGGTTAGGGGTTTATGACAGCAGTGGTTTCCGTGAGGTGGGCAGAGGCACCTTCCTCAGTGTGCTGGAGAAGGTCGACCACCAGCTGTCCCTGGGTGAGAGAGAGCTATCTCGGGTTCTGAATTTTACAATCTAGGAATTCGGGCTTCACTTCCAGGGGTTTGGGAGAAGAAAGGCGTGTGTCATGCGTGGAGTCTGCTTTTTGAGTCGACTCAAAAGGGAAGAAAGGCGTGCGTCATGCGTGGAGTTGTTTTCTTAAGCCGAACCAACTCCCAGAGCTCGTTCTCTCCGTTGCTTATCTTTACCTACCTTGTGATCATCATCTCATCTGCTGTGCTTCCTGGTGTTTCACATGGTTGTGCCCCCCGGTGTTTCACATGGTTGTGCTTCCTGGTGTTTCACATGGTTGTGCGCTTTCACATGATTACTTGACAGGCGTGAACGCGGTGCTGCTTCAACCGATTTCGGCTTTTGACGAGACTCAAGGACCCTACTACCCAATCAAGTAAGTAAGGATTCCCTGCGGTTGTGACGAGAATGAAGGCTTATCCCAAGTTTCTTCATGTTGAGTCGATGGTGTGCCCCCCCCCCCCCACCCCACCCATTCCATTCCCCCCTGCTTCCCCCCACAACAGCTTCTTCGCCCACATGCCATCCTGTGGGCCTAACGTCACCTTGAAGCTGCTGGTGTACGAGCTGCAATGCTGCATGCGCAGGGCGTGGACCTCTTGCCCCTCCCCCCGTTCTCTTTGCCCCTCTTGCCTCTGCATCCCCCCACAACAGCTTCTTCGCCCCCACGCCATCATACGGCGCAAATGACACCTTGAAGCTGCTGGTGCGCGAGCTGCACGCGCATGGCATCGAGGTGCACCTGGAGGAGTGGTGATGACCCCCCTCCCAAGCCCCTCTCGTGCCTCACCTCCCCCCTCCCACCAGTTTCTTTGCACCCATGGCATCATTTGGCCCAAGCGAGACACTCAAGCTGCTGGTGCGCGAGCTGCACGCGCGCGGCATTGAGTTGCACCTGGAGGCGGTGGTGAGATGCTCCCCTGTCCTGCCGTCTCCCTTTCGACCCTCCCGCCCCACCCACCCAGTTTCTTTGCCCCCATGCCATCCTACGGCCCAAATGACACCTTGAAGCTGCTGGTGCGCGAGCTGCACGCTAGGGGTATCGAGGTGCACCTGGAGGCAGTGGTGAGCCACACGGCAGAGGGCAGCGATGACACCCCCAAGCCCATCTCCTTCCGGGGGGTGGACAACAGGGCCTACTACATCAATGACGCCTTTGGCAAGCAGGTAGACACCCGGGCTCGTGGCTTATCACCATACCTTGTACATGAGGTGACTTTTGAGTCGACTCAAAGTCACCTCATCACCATACCTTGTACATGAGGTGACTTTTGAGTCGACTCAAAGTCACCTCATCACCATACCTTGTACATGAGGTGACTTTTGAGTCGACTCAAAGTCACCTCATCACCATACCTTGTACATGAGGTGACTTTTGAGTCGAGTCAAAGTCACCTCATCACCATACCTTGTACATGAGGTGACTTTTGAGTCGACTCAAAGTCACCTCATCACCATACCTTGTACATGAGGTGACTTTTGAGTTGACTCAAAGTCACCTCATTACCATACCTTGTACATGCTTGCTTGCCAGTGCGCTTCTGGCAAGCAGGCAGCGACATTTCCTGTCACTCTGAAGCGCCCTCATACTCACCAAGTATCCTCGCGGTCTCGCCACCAGCGCCATCCTTTTCCTCAACACCCTCAACTTCACCCCTGCCCCCCAACCCCATCCCTGCCCCCCAACCCCGTCCCTGCCCCCCCCAAACCCATCCCTGACCCCAACCCAATCCCCGCCCCCACCACTTTCTGTGCCGCAGGTGGTGCCAGGTGGTGCCAGAGTACGGAGCTCCCAACGCCACGTTCTGCTGCACCCGACTCCCATCCCTGCCCCTCACCACCAACCCATCCCCTCACCACCGCCCCATCCCCTCACCACCACTCCATCCCCTCACCACCACCCCATCTCCTCACCACCACCCCTGCCCCTCACCACCACCCCATCCCCGCTAGGTGGTGCCGTGCCGGGCCGGAGTATATAGGGTGCTCCCAGTTTTCATGCCATTCGTTTCCTCACGTTCTGCCGCCCCCATCCCCATCGCTGCCCCTCCACCACTTTCTGTGCCCCCATCCCCGCCAGGTGATGCCGGAGTACGGAGCTCCCAACGCCTTCAACTGCAACAGCCCTGTCGCGCTCTCTCTGGTACGTGCTCGGAGTCATGGGGCGAGCTTTGTAGTCTGTTTATGAGGCGCCTCAAAAATAGACTCCTCACGTTTGAGCTCCCAACGCACGCGACTGCAACAGCCCTGTCGCGCTCTCTCTGGTATGTGCTTGGAATCATGGGGCGAGCTTTGAGGCATGAGTCATGATACCTGCTTGGAGTCGCCTCGTATTCTTTGAGCACTTTTGTAGTCCTCAGAAACAACTTTTGAAACGCCTTGTGAGGCGATTCCACACTGCGCTCGACCCTCTCCGTGGAACATGGCTGGAAGAGTCACCTCATGTGCTTTGTGGTGGGCGCCTTCATTATCATCCCGCCGTGCACCACTGGGTGCACCACTGGGTGCATCACTGGGTGCATCACTGGGTGCACAAATGCATGCACCACTGGGTGCACCACTGGGTGCATCACTGGGTGCACCACTGGGTGCATCACTGGGTGCACAAATGCATGCACCACTGGGTGCACCACTGGGTGCATCACTGGGTGCACAAATGCATGCAGCACTGGGTGCACCACTGGGCGCCTTCATCCCGTCGTGCACCACTGGGTGCAGGAGTACCACATAGATGTCGTCACTTTCGCTGCGTGCGTCCCTCGTTCCCCCCCTCTTCTTCCCTCAGTCTCCCATCCACCCCCCCAACTCCCCAAACAGATTCTAGACGCCGTGCACCACTGGGTGGAGGAGTACCACATCGACGGCTTCTCATTCGTCAACTCCTCCGCCCTCACCACCGGCCCCCACGCCCAGCCGCTCTCCCGCCCTCCACTGGTCGAGGCCCTTGCCTTTGACCCTCTATTGGCACAAGTGAAGCTGGTGGCTGATGCTGCCATGCCGCTGCTGTCCAGCCAGAAGGTGAGTGGGCATTTGCTTTCAGCTCTGATTGAGTCCCCCACCACCAGGACCCACGCCCAGCCGCTCTTTTGACCGCCCCTCGTTGAGGCACTCATCAGCCACCAGTTTCACTTGAGCCTTTGACCCTCTACTGGCGCGAGTCAAGCTGGGGGCTGATGCCGCCATGCCGCTGCTATCCAGCCAAAGAAGATGAGCAGGTTGCTGGCACTAGCTGCTAGCTGCAAGCACTGGCTGGGACTCACCACTGGGCCCCATGCCCAGCCGCGCTTGTCCCCACCCTCACTCCACCCTCACTCCACCCTCATTCCACCCTCACTCCACCATCACTCCACGCTCACTCCAACCTCACTCCACCCTCACTCCACCCTCACTCCACCTCACTCCACCCTCACTCCACCCTTACTCCACCCTCACTCCACTCCACCCTCACTCCACCCTCACTCCACCCTCACTCCACCCTCACTCCACCCTCACTCCACCCTCACTCCACCCTCACTCCACCCTCACTCACCCCACCCCACCCCGCCCCTCAGGCATTTTCCTTCCCGCACTGGAAGCGGTGGCAGGAGATGAACAGTGCCTTCTGCTTCGACATCCGCAGATTCGTTTCTGGGCAGCCTGGGCAGATCAGCGGCCTGGCAACAAGGCTGTGCGGCAGGTGGGTACTGACTGGGGCGGGTAGGTACTGACTGGGGCAGGTGGGTACTGACTGGGGCAGTTGGGTACTGACTGGGGCGGGTGGGTACTGACTGGAGCAGGTGGGTACTGACTGGAGCGGGTGGGTGCTGATTGAAGCTTCTCCTGTTGTCAAACAGAGCGAGTTGTTTTCCTAGCATCTGCCTTCTCTCCGTGTTCACCTCTCCAACACTCATGCCGCCCCACCAGCATATCTCTTTCCTCTTGTTCCCCTCCTTGCACTCTACCTTTGAGTCGATCCAAAAGCAGACTCATTACACACATGTTTTTTTTTAGTCAACTCAAAAGCATACTTATTCCGCCCCACCAGCATCTCTCTTTCCTCTTGTTCCCCTTCCCCCCTCGCACTCGGCCCCCAGTGGCGATCTCTTCTCCTCGAGTCGAGGCTAACCCTTCCCCGGCCCTCCATTCCTCCTCTCTTCTAATCCCCTCCCCCCCTCTGATGCTGCCCCCAGTGGCGACCTCTTCTCCTCGGGTTGACTTTTGAGTCGACTCAAAAGCCCCCAATGGCGACCACTTCTCCTCAGGTCGAGGGCCCCGCGTTCGCCGTCAGCTCCGTCTCAACCCCCCACGGGCTCATCAACCCTTCCTCGGCCCTCGGAACGAGGCCCAGCTCCACCTTCAACTTGTCACGTCACGGCGTTCCAAGGGCTCACCCTCGCCTCGCCCCACGGTCCACCTTCTCTTGTTACCCCGTCTCTCTTCTCCTCGTGCCTTCCCTGTCCTCCTCTTGTTTCTCCCAGTGGCGACCTCTTCTCCTCGGGGCGAGGCCCGGCGTTTGCCTTCAACTATGTCACGGCCTTCCAAGGGCTCACCCTGGCCGACCTCGTCAGCTACAGCGTGGAGTCTGAAGCCAGGTGCGAGGGCATGTTTAGAAGCGAGGTGCGAGGCCATGTTTAGGAGCCAGGTGCGAGGCCATGTTTAGAAGCCAGATGCGAGGCCATGTTTAGAGGCCAGGTGCGAGGCCATGTTTAGAAGCCAGGTGCGAGGCCATGTTTAGAAGCCAGGAGTGTTTTGCTTGGCAAGTCAAAGTGGATCATGTTTTGAGGCAAGTCAAACCGCAGATGAGCGTTCCAAGGGCTCAGCCTGGCCCACCTAGTCAGCTGCAGCGTGGAGTGGAGTCCCGAAGCCAGGTCTGTTCTGAGTGGAGTGGAGCCGTGACTTGAGTCGTTTCTTGAGGCGTGCTCTCAGGCACCTCAAAGCAGCCTCCCAAGAGATCACCTTGGCTGGCCTCGTCCGCTACAGCATTGTGGGAGTTTGAGTCTAGCAACCAGCCGTGTTTCGAGTAGTCCGTTTTGAACCCTAGTCCGGCTTGGCTCTTCGGCTCCCCTTCCCGCCCCCCTTCTGCTCTGTCGTCATACTCGTCTCCGTCCTTATCTCCCCTCTCTGCCCCTCCCCCCCCCACTGCTGCAGTTGGAACAGTGGCGTGGAGGGGAGGGAGTGAGTGAGGATGAGGACGTCTCATAAGTCTTCCCTCCCGTTCCCCACCCCCCCTTCCCCTCACACCCCTCCCAATCTTGCAGTTGGAAGTTTTGCATGGAGGGAGAGTGAGTGAATGTTCACAGCATACCACGCGATCCATCTCGCACCCGTCTCCGACCCCTTTCCCCACCCCGCTCCCCTCCACTCTTTCAGCTGGAACTGTGGCGTGGAGGGAGCGTGAGTGAATGTGCACAGCACACCTGGATTCACCTCACCCTGTCTGTGACCCTTTCCCCACCCCCTCTCCCCCTCTTCCCCTCTCCCCCTCTCCCCCTCTTCCCCTCTCCCCCTCTTCCCCTCTTCCCCTATCCCCCTCTTCCCCTCTTCCCCTATCCCCCTCTTCCCCTCCCTCCCCCCCCACTCTTGCAGTTGGAACTGCCGACGTGGAGGGCGTGAGTGACGCGACACACCACAGTACATCTCACACCGGTCTCTGACCCCGTTCCCCATCCTCTCTTCCCACTCTTACAGTTGGAACTGTGGCGTGGAGGGCGTGAGTGACGACGAGGGAGTCATGCGGACCAGGCTGAAACAGGTGCGGGAGAGAGGCGAGTGGAGTGGACTCATGGGGTATGAAAACGATGAGGACAGGTGTGGCCGGTTGGACCGGAGGGTGTGAGGAGTCTATTTTTGAGGCGCCTAAAGGAGAGAGATGCGAGTGACGATGAGGGCGTCAGGCGGACACGGCTGGAACAGGTGAGGGGGGGTGGGAGGAGGAAATGAGAGGAGGGAGGGTGGGAGGAGGAAATGAGAAGAGGGAGGGAACTCACAGCAAACGTTTGATCAGAAGAGAAGACAGAATGAGAAAAGGGTCTGGTTTAAGCTTGAGGAGACAGAACGCAGGAGGCAGACTTATGGGAAGGAGAGGGGAGGGGTTATTGTGCTTCTATCCTGTGTGATGTCCCTTGGCCTCCCCTTGTCTCTGTCTTGTATCCCCCCTCCTCTTCTTGATGGTTCCCCCTCTGGTAATCTGCCCGCTGTGTTCTCCTGCACTCTTCCTCTGTCTCCCCCCAGGTGCGCAACCTCCTAACAGTCTTCTTCCTCTCCCTTTGTTATTTACCCTTGTCTCTTGTTTTGAGGCGCCTCAAAACTCTTCTTCCTCTCCCTTTGTTACTTACCCTTCTGTCTTTCCTGTCCATCCGTCTGCCCTCCTGCTCCTTCTCGTCTCACTCTTACTGCCCTCCTGTTTTCCCTCTCTTGAGGCGCCTCAAAACTCCTGTTTTCCCTCTCCCTCCCTCGTCTGCCCCCAGGTGTGCAACCACTTCGCAGTCCTCTTCCTCTCCCTGGGCGTGGCTTGAGGCGCCTTAACCATTCCTCACACCTCTCTCTTTTCTCTCACCCACTCGTCTGCTCCCTCTCTCTCACCCACTCACCCACCCCCAGGTGTGCAACTACCTGGCTGCTCTCTTTCTCTCACTGGCGGTGGCTTGAGGCGCCTCAACCGCCCTTCCATGTCTGTCCCTCCCTCTCCCTCACGCGCCTGCCCTTCTCTCCGTCTTGAGGTGCCTCAAATCCTCGTCTCAACCCTTTTGCCCAGTCAATTGCTTGCTTGCCCCGGCTGCCCACCCACTCACCCACCCCCAGGTGCGCAACTACCTGGCAGTGCTCTTCCTCTCACTGGGAGTGCCTGTGCTGACAGCTGGCGACGAGTACGGCCACTCCAAGGCTGCAGAGCTGGCAGCAGATTACTCGTAAGTCCTTTCCTTCCTCCACCTGCACTTATGCACTTATGCACAGATTACTCCTTTGCCAATGCGCTCGTCTCATTCATCTTCTCTCTTTCCAGAAAGTGCCCGGGTCAAATCATCCCTCGCCCTTGCTTGCTGCAGCGCATCTCCCTACCCTCCGCTTACTGTCTCTCACCAAGGGTATTCCCCCACACCTCGATCAAAGGAGGAGCAGTGAAATCACACCTCTTATTGGTTTTTTTTTTTTTTTTTTTTTTTTTTTTTTCCGGTCTGTCTGTCTGCCTGCCTGCCTGGTGATCCGTCTTTTGCCTGGCTGCCTGGTGATCCGTCTTTTGCCTGGCTGCCTCTCTGTTTATCTCCCACCAGCAAGTCTCCCTTCCTGTGGGAAACCCAGCAGTCCGAAATGGGAGCTCAGCTCACCTCCTTCTTGTGGAGCACCCTGCAGTCGGACCTTGGAGCACTGTTCACCTCACCTGCGTTGCTTGCTCTTCCTCACTTGCTCTATGTATCCCCCCCCCAGCGAGTCCCCCTTTCTGTGGAGCACCCTGCAGTCGGACCTTGGAGCTCAGCTCACCCGCTTCATCGGCTCTCTAGCCAACTTCAGGCGCCGCCGCACGCTGCTGCTGCAGGTGAGTTGAGGAGGGCGGTGGGAATGGCTTTGAGTCTACTCAAGAAGAGGGGAGTGCGTTGAGGGTTATTATCATGTGCTGCTCCAGGTGTTGAGGCGGGGGGTGGGAAGAAATGGGGAAGTATAGCAGTCAGACCTGGGAGCTCAGCTCACCCGCTTTATCGGCTCTCTTGCCAACTTCAGGCGCCACTGCACGCTGCTGCTGCAGGTAGGTGGTGGCGGGCGGGGTGTTTGTTGTAGCCTGCTGCTGCTGTTTGCAGTGAGACCTGGGGCGAACTTGAACAGCTCATCACCTCTATTGCCAACCTCAGAAGGCGACACACGCAGCTGCTGCTGGTGGAGTGAACGGGGGAAAGTGGAAGGGGAAGAGGGGGGGGATGTAGGAGGTTTCAACTTATGCTGAAGGTGAAAGAATGGGGGAGAAGGGGAGGCTGAGCCGCTGAGGGGTATTGTACTCTGTTGCGGCAGGTACTGTAGTTTTTTTCCTTTACGACCGGTCCCTCGTCGCTCACCTCGTCTACCGATCTCTCTCTCTCCCCCTCATCTTCTCTCTTCCTCATTCTCCCCCCCTCCATCCCTCTTCCGTTTGTGTGACCCAGAACCACAGTGCAGGACTATCTCCACTTGCCTTTTATTCCGTCTCGCGTTTTTTCTTGTGCCTTTTTCCCTTGTTCGTTCTCCCTCCAGTGCCTTATGCCTGCGCCACTCCCATCACACAGTGCCTTATTACACACGCCTTGCACGCCTTCTATAGGCGGCTACAAATCCGTGCAAGGCGTGTGTAATAAGTCGACTTTTGAGTCGACTAAAAAATCGACTTATTACACATGGCTACAAATCCGTGCAAGGACTTCTTCTTTGGAAAGGACGTCTTGTGGCACGGATTTGTAACCGCCTATAAAATCCCGTGTGCCTGCACAGCACGGCTCCCATCATCCCACACCCCGTCATCCCCTCACCCCATCACCTCATCTCAGCTCAAGGACACCTCGGTCTATCCATTCACTATCTTTCTCTTTCCATCCATCCCAACATCATCACCCCATCGCCATCTCATCATCCCCTCGCCGCATCATCATCCCATCGCCATCCTGTCATCCCCTCACCCCATCATCACCCCATCGCCATCCTGTCATCCCCTCGCCCCATCATCACCCCATCGCCATCCTGTCATCCCCTCGCCCCATCATCCATCACCCCATCGCCATCCTGTCATCCCCTCGCCCCATCATCTCATCTCAGCGCAAGGACTTCTTCTTTGGGGAGGACATTGTGTGGCACAGTTCTGTAGGCGCCTAAGATATCCCATGTGCCTGCACCACTCCCACCATCCCATCATCATCCCTCCATCCCACCATCCCATCATCATCCCTCCATCCCTCCATCCCTCCATCTCACCATCCTCCTCCCCATCTCAGCGCAAGGACTTCTTCTTCGGAGAGGACATCCTGTGGCACGGAGCATTTCCCAACCAGCCGGAATGGGACAATCCCAACTGGTATGGCCCAAACCTAGCAGGTATGGCCGGGCCTCACTGGTGTGCCCACATTTTTGCTGGTATGGCCATGCCACTGTTTTCTAGCGACCTCTTTTTGCTTTCCCCACCCCCCTTCCCCCATATCCCCTCACCCTCTTTCCCCCGCACGTTTGTGCTTCTCAAAAGATGTGTCTTTGCCCTATTCCTTTCCCCTCCCTCCCTCTCCAGTTGCTTCCTAGCATGCACCATTCAGAGTGCCGGCATTGAGTCGTCAGCTAAGGAAGCTGCAGAGGAAGCAGGAGTGCCGCTTACCACTGCCGCCCCAGCTGTAGCGCCTGCTGAGGCTGTTGGCGATCTCTACTTCGCCTTCAATGCGCATGGGACTGAAATGATCGTGGAACTCCCAGCCCCGCCTGTTGGCATGATGTGGTATGATATGGTGGCGATGGTCTATGACCCGTGACCCATGAACCATGACCCATGACCCGTGACCCATGAACCATGACCCATGAACCATGACCCATGACTCATGACTCATGAGTCATGAACCATGACCCATGACCCATGAGCTGTGGCAATTGACCCATAACTCATATCCCATGAACATCACCCATCGTCCATCGCTCATTTCAATGGTTTTTTGGTGGCATGAGGCATGTGGCATGAGGCATGTGGCATGGGTATGTGACATATGGCATGTGGCATGGGTATGTCACATATGGCATGTGCATGTGTGGCATGTGCGTGTGGGGCACGTCACACGTGGCATGTGGGGCACCTGGCATGTGGGGCACGTTGCATGTGGGGCACGTTGCATGTGGGGCACGTTGCATGTGGGGCACGTGGCATGTGGGGCACGTGCCATGTGGGTCAAGTGGCTTGTGGGCATGTGGCTGGCATATGGCATGTGGGGCACGTACCATGTGAGGCATGTGGCATACGGGTCGAGTGGCATGTGGGCATGTGGCGCATTGAGCATGGCAGGCACCTTGTGGTGGACACGGCCAAGGACTATCCGGCTGACATCACCGAGATACCAGCTCAAGGCGTTCCTCCATCCATTGCAGCAGCGACAAGGTATGCGGTGACTAGGTATGCGGCGACATTGAAACACACAGTGGAGCATGGGAGCGCAACGAAAGAAGGGCAGGAGGAGAGAGTGTATACATGTGTGGGTGCGGGTGCGTGGGTGTATGGTGTGTGCGTGTAATGCTGCATGCTGGTGCGTGGTGACCTATGCTGATGTGCTGCTTGCAACGCTGTGCAGGGTGTCGTCACCGTACTGCATGGAGCCCTTCTCAGTGATAGCCTTGGAAGCTCGTGGCCCGCCCTCCTTCGCCCCTCGCATCTGACTGTGTTGAGAACTATCACCCATATGGCAGAGGCTACTACTGTCTTTATCTGCTCCTGGTTTGCTTTACAACACGTTTTGCTAGCATAATTTTCCAATTCTCGTATGACATGGTCTGCGTCTCAGAGTAGAAAAGTTGACTAGAATTAGGCCTACAGGTTGATTTTGTTCAAGTGGTTGTACCCTCTAAAAGCATGCACCTATCTAGCCTATTATAACATATACAAATATGTTTGACACACCCCCTAGGCCAGATGAGGGGCAGTGCGTAGAAATCGACACACCTAGAAATCGACACACAGCTCAGGGTGGCACTACTAGTCCAGCCTCTGAGGCAAGGTTTCGAAGAACAGTCAGCAAGAGTACAAGCTAAACAAGAGCAACCAAAGGCGGTACTACTAGTCCAGCCACTAGGACAGGAGCCACAAGGCCAGTCAAGAGAATATAAAATGAGTACACAATCAAGGTCCTAGCAAGTGAGAAGCTACAGGAACTAGACCAAGCTGTACACAGTGCCGCAGATGATCTTTAGGCGCAAGCACCTTCGTAAAGATATCAGCTGTGTTAGCACCGGAGGCCAAGTGTACTATACGGGCCTGGCAGCGCTGCTGCAGCTCGCGCAGGAGGAAGTACTGCAGCTGGATGTGCTTCGCTCTGCCCTCAAGTCGAGGCTCCTGACACAGGAGGATCATGGCCCTGTTGTCATCTACAGGACCGGGGCAGTGCTAGGCCGCTCACCTAAGTCAGTGAGCAAGAAGGTCAGCCAACGGAGCTCCTGTGCCGTCATGGCACCGGCTTAGATCTCAGCCTTACAGCTAGACTGGGAAACAGACGACGAGCGGGTGGACCTCCACGAGATGGCACCTGAACCAAGGCTAAAGCAGTAGCTCTGGGAGGACCTGAGCGTCTCAGCGTCGTCTGCCCAAGAAGCGTCTGTATGCCCAGTAAGGACCACTGGCCTGCGTCCTACCAGCACTAACCCTATGCCCGATGTACTTGCTAGATAACGCAAAACCCTCTTAGCGGCCGACCGGTGCTATGGTCGGTGTTTGCTGACGCCACGAAGCGAGCCAGGATGCTGAGAGGGTATGCGAGAACTGGACGAGTGCAAGTCATCGGTTACATAAGGCAACCCACCAGCTCGGCGTAAGGACCACTGGGCTCTGTTGACTCCTCAGGAACTGGAGTAGAGAGCCTGTGGTCTACTGGCAAAGGTGTGGGCTGTGCAGAGGATAACTGAAGATCGTATAAGAGTGATGGTGCGCGTTGCACTGTCCCTAGAGATCTGCAAGCCAAGGTAGCGGCGCAGCTCTCCTAGGTCAGTGCAGGTGCGTCTCCTCAGCAGCTCGGTCTTCACGGAGGTCAGTGCGTCTCTGTCGGCAGTAGCAAAGACCAGGTCGTCTACATAGAGAAGGATGTAGAACGGAGTCTGGCCTGCACGAACGAAGAGCGAGGGGTCTGGAGAGGACGGAAAGAACTACAGGTCAAATAGCATAGCATGCAGCGTATCGTGCCACTCACGGGGCGCCTGTAGCAGGCCATAGACCGGGCGCCGGAGGAGGCACTGGGTCCCAGGAGGGAAGGTACCGCTGACTTCGCCTCTTGTCGCTCTACTCGAGACAAGAACAGACGGGTCGGTAACGAGGGAGGCAAGGACCCGAGGAACAAGAGGACGAGCGGCACGAAGGTAGTCAGACAGAGGGGGAGGCGCGACAGCGAGCGACGACGGAGGAGGCGACGGGAGGAGGGGAGGACGAGACGCATGGGAACGAAGCAACATAGGGTGAGAACGCTGAACAGGAGAGACAGGACGAGCACGAGAGGGACGAAGAGACTAGACGTGAGACGGAGGTGACTGTTCATGAGACAGAGGAGGAGACAGAAGAGGGGAACGAGGGGGAAGACGAGCCGGGGATGAGTCCGGCGGAGTGAATACAGGGCTGTAGACAGGGAAAGGAGGAGGCGGCGGGGGAGGCGCAGGCGAGCGGTCAAGGGAGGGAAGGCCGAGCAGGCGAAGGGCGGACATTGGCGGTGTCTGCTGCTCATGCTGTTCGACGCCGACACCTGGACCGCCAGCTGCACCACGGCTACCTCCTGAACACCCCACTCCAGCACCCCCTGAACGAGCACCCCCAGAGCGAGAACCCTCTTTAGCACGGGTGCCACCCCCGAGCCCGCGGGGATAAGCCACGACAGGAACCCCAGGACTAGCACCCTCCTCAACGCCAGCACCCCCAAAGTCCATGAACGGCTACTGCTGCTGTGACGGCGGCGGCTGCTGCGGCGGCGGCGAAAACGGCTGCGGCGGCGATTGCGACGACGGAGGAGGGGACACCGGGGAAGAGGCAGGCAACAAGAATTGTGCCGCGGGGCCACCAGAGTCAGCCGACTCCCCGACCGGGAAAACCGACGAGAGGGGAGTGACGTGAGACAAACCAGAGGGGGCAGGACAGGGAGGGAGGGGAGCAGGGGCTACCGGGGGAGTGGTAACCAAAAACAGAGATGGGGCAACCGGGAGACCTCGGTGGGGAAAGCGACGGTAAAAAGAGACTGACTCGTTGAAAGTGACGTCACGCGAGTGAAGGAAGCGGTGGTAAAAGTGTCAGTTAGACGAGTCAAGGGGGAAACCAAGGAAGACATAGGGGAAAGTGCGGGCAGTGAGCTTATCCGTTCCAGAGGCATGAAAGTGAGCGGGGCATCCCTAGACGCGGAACGTAGACGCGTCACCAGGAGACCCGGTCCAGAGGAGGGTTGGTGAAACCTGCGCCGCCAGTCGACCACGGCGGCGGGGATCCCCACGGCGACGGCTGTAGCTGCGACAACTGCGGCTACTGCTGAGGCTGCTGCTGCTGCTGCTGCTGCTGCTGAGGTTGCGCCTGCTGCTGCAGCTGCTCCGGGGCACTATCCCTGGTCCCCTCGTCTGAACCACCATCCCCGCCCTCACCGCCGCCACCCTCCCCATCACCACCCCCCTTCCCCCCACCACGCCCCCCTTTGGGGCGGCGACCCTTACCCGGACGCTTCTGCGCTGAGGCCACCGCAGCAGTCTCAGCAATAGCAGTAGAGATATCAGAGTAAGTGCAGTGGGAAGGAGCACAACCCTGAAAGATAGGTACCACCGCAATACCGTTGGACTGAGCGATACTGCGCTGGCGGGTCTCTATCTTAGACAGGGGAGTGACAAAGGCAGTAAGAGTGAGGTCACCTAGGTGCTGACTAAGGAAGTGGTCGCGGGCTATGGCTAGGCGGTTAGGGAAGCGCGTGGCAATTAGATAAAGGGTAGCGCAGAACGGCGGCATGAAGGCAGTGAGCTATGTCTCAATGCTAGCAACGTGGTAGCTTGTCTCAAGCGCACGTAGGTGCGTGGCAAAGTCGGCGGCAGTGGGGAAGGACGGAAGATCAGGGAACAGCATGGGAAGGATCAGGCGACCAGCAGAGGCAGTGGCGGGGGTGGAATAGCGCTCAATGACATCATCTAGGAAGGCCTGGGCGTTCGCTACAATGGTAAAGCGAGGACGCTCAGACAGCGGGAGTGCACGGCTGATAGCAAGCTGGGCGACTGCGTCACGCGAGTCCCAGACGGCACGATCAAGCACAGCAGCGGAAAAGGCCTCACGCTCAGCAGAGGTGGGGGCAGCAGGGAGGGCAGCAGGGGCAGGGGGGCGGGGAAGCAGGCCATTGACATGAACAGTTAGGGAGTGACCGTCCTAGCGCTGACCTGTAAGGTGACGTCGAAGGTCGACGAGCCATGCCTCAATGTCTTGCTCCCGACCCTCTGCGTCCAGACGGAGCTGTGACTCCGCCATCGCCACTGCTGCAGCTGCTGACGGCTGCTGACAGAGTGAGGAGGATAGGTGGAGGAAGCGGTGAAGAGCAGTGGAGTGCGGTGGAGAGCGGTGGAGTACGGTGGAGTGCGGTGGAGAGCGGTGGAGTACAGTGGAGTGCGGTGTAGTGTGGTGGAGTGCGGTGGAGTATAGTGTAGAGTAGTGGAGTGCGGTGGAGTGCAGTGGAGGGCGGTGTAGTGCAGTGGAGTGAGGTGGAGAGCAGTGGAGAGTGGGGGAGACAGTCGGCAGGGAAGCCGGCGCTGAAGGGAGCCAGAGTTGGTGGGTCGGCGCTGGAGCCGGCTGGCTGGGCGGCTAGCTGGGCGGCTGGTTGGCCGACCAGCTGGCGAGGGCCAACGGGGCGCGGGCGGGGCCGGTAGGGCGCTAACGGGACCGGTGGGGCGCTAACAGGCCGGCGGGGCGAGCAGGGCCAGAGGGGCGTACGGGACCGACGGGGCGCTAACGGGGCTGGTAGGGCGCTAACGGGCCGGTGGGGCGAGCAGGGCTAGAGGGGCGCACAGGGTCGACGGGGCGAGAGCGGGGCCGGCAAGGCGCTAACGGGCCAGTGGGGCACTAACGGGCCGGTGGTGCGAGCGGGGCCGGAGGGGCGCACGGGGCCGAGTGGGCGCGAACGGGGCCGTAACGGGGCTAACGGGTCGGCGGGGCATGAACGGGCCGGCGAGGCGAGCAGGGCCAGAGGGGCGCATGGGGCCTACGGGGCGCTAGCGGGGCTAGTAGGGCGCTTACGGGCTGGTGGGGCGCTAACGGGTCGGCGGGGGGCGAACGGGGCTGACGGGCGCTATTAGGCTAGAGGTGGCCGACGGGCAGGGTTCAGATCTCAGACGAAATCGGTCTGATGGTCTAAAAATCAGACCTGTTTTTTTCCTTTCATCTGATTTTTTTACGGGCTAAATCAATTGGTCTGATCGTCCAGATAAGCCATAAGATTCCGTCTGAAAGTTCAGACCAGGTTTAGACTTTCGTTTGAGAAATCAGATAACGGGTATTTTTTTGTCTGAGACTCTCGGGCATTCCTCTTCGTTCCCCCATCCCTCCCCCTTCCCCCCCCCCACAACTGAGGATTTTTTGGCTAAGTCCTCGACTGCCAGGTACATTCCCCCCACACCCCTAGAATACCTAATTTTTTCCGGCGAAGTGCCCCACACAAGAGATATTCCTCCACACACCCCTCGCAACAATAATTTTTCGGTTAAGTCTCCCACACCAACCCAAAAAAATCGGCGAAGTCCTTAACTGCAAGATACATTCCCCCACACACCCCTCACAACCCGGTTTTTCCGGCTACAGTATTCTCCCGTATACAGCACCCCGCAAAATTGAACTCCCATGGGTGGCTTGAGAGGACATGGGTACTTAATTAAACTGGATATACATAACACCCGTCTTTTTTGCCTGCAAATATTTGAACACCCCCCCGAAACCTTCAACCTCGATTTTGAGTAGCGTAGACGAGCGTTACCCTCTTTTCCAACCACTGTTGCTGTGCCATCACCTGAGCGTGAGAGCGAGTGGGAAACTTAAGGAACCTATACAGCGCGGTTCAAGGGGTGCGACGCAGAAAATTACGAGACCCATTTTGACTGCCCCAACTAGTGTGTCCCTTCCCTTGAATCCTCGAAAATCAATGTTCGCTAGTTGAGTTTCGGGTCGCGCTCGCCTTCTCGCCAAGAAAATCGTGCCCTAGGGTGCTTTATACGGAGGAATACGGTAAGTCCCTGCTACCCTGCTTCCACATTGTTTTTTCTCCTTCGTCGCTTGACTGGACTGGGGGCAGGGTGGAAGGAACCCTGAAATTGCTGGGCAAACAGAGGGGGCTGCCTGCACGTGACACGTCACGCCACCTGCGAGTGTTCCTACCAGAATCCGAAGGCATGTATCTTACAGTTTCGGAACCTAGGTCCGGTTACACATTTCGCAGCACATTTCGACAGGGCTTCGCGAGCTCCTCCCCAGGCAAAATCTTCGCCAGTTCCGGAACTTGCAGAATCGGAACCGTAAGACACATGCCTTAAGAGCGTTTTCCTACGGCCTCTGCACAAGCCTGCCTGTTCCCAGACTCGCACGCTTCAGTGCCGTGCAATGACTCTTGCGCTCTTCTGCGTGGTTCAGACTGACGAGGTTCAGGGCATGTTTTAAACTTCTTCGCAGACGCACATTTTCCAGAGATGCGCGGGTCTCTACAGCTCGATTATGACCCGAGCAGAATCAAAGCGGTTAAGAAAGTGATACTGAAACGAAGTGAGCTTGACAAGAAAACCTTTGAGCACGCTCTCAGGCGAGGACCGAGTTTGGGAATTGGGTAGCCTGGGAAGAGGTTTGTAAGAAGACGCTCTTAGCAGAAAACGAACAACTCGAGGTCGAAATTACGAGGGACGAATATTCTTGCGCAAAAATTTCGTCTGAATTTTAAGACCAGTGTAAAAGTTTCATCTAAAATCTGAGACTCATTGAAAATTTTCGTCTGATGGTCAGACCAAACTTTTAAACCCCGTCTGATTCTCAGACAGCCCTAAATCTTAGCTGAAACCCTGCCGACGGGGCACGAACGGGGCGCTAACGGGCCAGAGGAGGGGCGCACGGGGCCGACGGGGCGCTAAGGGACGGCTAGGAGCGGGCGGCTAGGCCTAGGACGAGAGCGGAAGCGCGGGTGGGCGGGGGGAACCTAACCTAGCGGGTGATACCATCTCAGAGTAGAAAAGTTGACTAGAATGAGGCATACATGTTGATTTTGTTCAAGTGGTTGTACCCTCTGAGAGCATGCACATCTAACCTATTATAACATATACAAATATGTTTGACATGCGTTGGGAAAGAAACACATTGGTTGGCCAATGTAAACTTATTTTTACGTATTGCCATCACAACCATGATATTGATCGTGGGGAGTGAATCTAATTCTCTTTCCACTATTAGCCACGAGGGCTAAGTGGCTAATGAAACATCCACAACAATGCTTTCTTGTAAAGCTACGCAAGTTTTCCTAAGACGAGAGCAGGAGGTGTCGCTGCTGCTTGACACGAGGTCGCGCTGTCTGATCCATATTGCAGTACAGTGCCAGTTGCGAAATCAAGAATACGCCCACAATGCAGCGCGTCTTGCCACCTGCGATGCTCCCTCCCTTTTGCCTCTTCCCCATCTCGACTGAATTCCCGCTCCGACATTGCCGCCACCACCTGCCGCCATATTGCTTGCAACCCATCCCAACCCACTCAAAAAGCGACAGATGCACGAGGGAAGCACAAGTGCCTGATGACCACATCTTCACGCGGCTTTGCATCTCTCCCCTTCTGGAGCTTCCTCAACCCTCTCTCCTTCAGCATTAGTCGGTCTCAAGCTAGTGGTCTGACGCTGCTAGTGTAAGCTCAGGTGCAAGCTCGAATACTGTATCTTGCAATTCTTGGAGGCTTCAGTAGTACATTTGAATGTGCTCCACCGCCTGTAGACGTTCCAGCTGAGTTTGACTGAAGCCTGAATTTGAGTGAAGCCCTCCTGCTGTACTGTAGCTCCCACGAGATCAACGCGTACTTCTCACCGCATCAGCATTCAACCTCCCACATTTTCAACCTGTCGTTCGCACCGCATCAGCTCCAGTTTCCCCACAATCCGTCCGCCATGCTTCCCGTCTTGGCGGCGGACACAAGTCCGTCTATGTTCTAAGACCCCTCAAAACCATTCACTACTTACCACCTCACCTCATCAGCTCCTGATTCCCATCAACTTATATTTCCCGTCGGATCCTCGCCTAGCCGCCATGCTTCTCGTCTTCGTGGCGGACGCGAGTCCGTCCCTGTTCTAGGCCCATGTTTTAATTTTGAGGCGCCTCAAAACTAGACTTCTATTTCGTGGCGGACACGACTCCGTCCCTGTTCGAGGCCCATGTTTTAAGGCCCCCTAGGACCCCTGAAAACCATTCACTACTTCCCACCTCATCACCTTCTGATTCCCGCCAGCCTCTATTTCCCATCAAGCTATAATTCCTGTTGTTAACATCGTTCACGAGTCTACGAGTTCCCAACAGGTCAGCGTGTAGCACTCAGTCAGTCATCCCCACCTGCCGCCATCATGCTGCTGGTGTTCGTGGTGGGCACGAGTCCGGCCGTGCTCTGAGGCGTCCCACAACGAGGTGACTTTTGAGTCGACTCAAAATGCTCTGAGGCGTCCCACAACCACGCGCGAGTCTACGATTTCCCCTCGCACCGATCAGCGTGTAGCTCGCACCGATTCAACCATAGCCATCATGCTGCTGGTGTTCGTGGTGGACACGAGTCCGTCCATGGGCCAGCGCATCGCCAACGGGCTCACGCTGCTCGATTGCGCTAAGAGCGGCATCGAGCACTTCCATAAGGTAGGTCGAACAGAATTCCGTTTCCTATGTTGCTTTTTTATCGATCCACGACATCAGCTACCTGTTTATGTACCTGTAGAATCTGCGACTTTTGTGATAGTTGCTTGACTCGGTGGGGTTCTTTGATGACGCTATCCCGACAGCTACCTTTTGAGCTGAAATGCTTCACGATTATAGGCGCTCAACCGGCGTGTTTGATGACGCCATACTTATCCCTTAGGTTCCATTATTTTAGCCTTCAGGTCGACTTCTTAGCCATGCGTGACGAACGTTTCTTTTTGACGTCATTCTTCGTTACATCAGCATTCTTAGTTACATTCCAGATGCCTCTCTTTATACTTAGCAGTGACTGCTGTGACTGCGATCATGCATAGGGAATCAGAAGCGGATGCACGCTTCAATAAGCTGTAACTCCCCATGGTTCTGTGCTCTGTGTTGCAGGTTCGGCAACGAGACATTTCTGCCAGATCCGATAGGTCAGTAAAGCCTTCCCTGCAAAGTCTGCTGAAAAAAAAAACCCTTTTCTGTATCTCAACTCAATGCTTTTTCTTGAAAAATGGGCCTGTCAGAAAGTGCTGCGAATTCCGTCCTTCTGTTCCCTCCCTTAATCTGAACAGTTTGTCTGACGTTCCAATGTGGCTGGTGCAACAAGCTGCAGTACCTTACCTACGAATCAGTGCTTTTTTCTCGTCAGTGTTCTGTGCATATTAGAACTCTGTTTCCCCCAGTCCGATTCGTTTCTTTCAACAATTGCAGGCTTTGCGTCACGCCACTTCTCCTCCTCCCACCCGATCGATACGCGCTTTTGAGTCGACTCACAAGCTCACTTCTCCTCCCACCTGATCGATATGTATTTCATTTCGCACATCGTGACTTGCCCTCTGTCCGTATCCCAGGTACATGCTGGTGACATGCGACGAAGGCGCATCAGCTATCAAGGTGCGAGTGGATGGATGACATGGGCTCTATCCACCCCATCCCCAATTCCCCAGTCCACCCCATCATGGGTTTTTGCCGTGATCTGTCGCCCACCCCCCTCTTGTCCCTGTCAAGCTCGCGGCTTGTTACACATCACCTTTCATGCCTTTCGCGCTGTTCACCTCACCAGCATCCCTGCACCCATCCCATGCCTCCCTTGCCTCGGTGCTCACCAGCCTCCGAGCGCCCATCCCATGACCCTTGCTTCTCTCGCTTTCCCCCCTCTCCTTGGCTGGTCGACCGAATCCCCTTTGTCAATATCCTCAAAGTACCAACCATTCCACACATCCCCTCGCCGTCACCAGCATCGGGCACTGCACCGATCCGTTCCCCGTGATTCCCTTGTTGTTAGCCATGATAGAAGGCTCAGGTGGCCGCGTTCCCCTTGATTCCCTTGTTGTTAGCCATGATAGAAGGCTCAGGTGGCCGCGTTCCCCTTGATTCCCTTGTTGTTAGCCATGATAGAAGGCTCAGGTGGCCGCGTTCCCCTTGATTTCCCTGCCTCCTCTCCCCTCAGGTGGCTGACCGCTTCCCCTTTGCCAATCCGTGTGCATTAACTCGTTGATTTTTTACGTCTCAAAACACAATCCACATGCACCCATCACGCCCCTTGCCTCCCCTCTCCCCAGGTGGTCGACCACTTCCCCTTTGCCAGTTTCGTGCGGGTCCTCAAGGCCGTCAAGGAGGGGGGTCTCTCGTCCATCAGCCTGTGGGATGTCTCAAAGCCCAATTCTTCCCTCTCCTCTGCTCTCCCCAAGTGGTCGTCCGCGTCTCCTTTGCCACTTTCCTCAAGTTGGGCCAATCCACATGTACCCTACCCATCACGCCCCTTGCCTGTCTGCCCTCTCCCCAGGTGGTCGACCGCTTCCCCTTCGCCAGTTTCCTGCGAGTTCTCAAGGCCGTCAAGGTGGGGGGTCTCTCGTCCATCGGCCAATCACTGCGTGCCACGTTTGACCTGCTGCACACTCAGCGCCTCGCTGCAGACGTGGACAGATGGGGTGAGTGCGGCTGGGTTGACAGATAAGGTGACTGTTGGTGATGTGACACGAAGGTACCTTTCCAGCAGATTCAAAGGTCACACAGACAGGTGGTGAAGTATATGTGTGGTGTGCTTGTTTCTCCTCACACCCTTCGTCTTAGCCCCTCTCTTCTTCTTCGTCCCTTGCCCCCTTCCGTTCCGTACTGCTGTGTCTCCGTCCGTAGCATGTAATCTCTTTCTGCTTCAGGTCTCTCTTTTCGCCTCCCACCCCTCCCTCCCCCATAACCGTTCGCCTCTCCTCCTTCACCCCTCCCTCTCCCCTCCTCCCGCCCGCCATCTCATGTCACACTGTCTCACCTGCCTCTTTCCAGGCATGGGTCGCAATCTCGCATCTGTGGATCCGACGGTCGTCATGCTTCTCACGGATGGCACACATTTCACATCGGTAGGTCCCTCGCTTCCAAAGATTCACCGTAGAATGCCTCTAAGAATCCGATATGTCCAGCGGCAGCATCAGGCCAAGCCTCGCAGCCCTACAGAGGGCATCACCAGCGTATGGGCGACCATTCTGCCCTTCCCATGCGTCAATCCACAGCACCTCGGCAAAAGCCTGCCTTCCTTTCATCCCTCCCTCCACCTGCACTCTTGCTCTTCCCCGGCCCCCTGGTCCGCACCTTTTGAGTCGACTCAAAAGCTTGCTCTTCCCCGGCCCCCTGGTCCCCACCCTTTCCCTCTCCCACCCCAGCGCTTTGGCATGTCAACCAGCCTGGCCCTACCCGCCATCAGCAAAAGCTCATCGCCGGCATCTGACTTGAGCTCGCAGCCGTTCCGATGGGAGCAGCGCGTGCTGGCCACCATCCTGCGCATCCCGTGCGTCAAACCGGAGCACCTTGAGAGGATCGGCCCTCTGCCTGCTGCTGGGCCCATCTCGGAGTCGCCTGCTGCCGTTGCGGTTGACACGAGTATCTCGGCGCTCTGTGAATCCACCGGGTGAGTGAGAGAATGTGTGGTGCGTCTGGAGAGAGGAGAGGTGTGTTTGTGGGGAGAGCGGGCGAGTGTGTGCTTGTACTGGTTGTGCTTGTGCCGGGCCCATCTCTGATTTCCCTGCTGCTGTCGCTGTTGACACGAGTATCTCGGCGCTCTGTGAATCCACCCACTGGATGGGTGTGACAGAGAGAGTGCTGGCAGACTGGAATGCTGGGAGAGTGTGTCTGTCTGTGTGCGTGTGCTGCTGCTGGGCCTGTCTCTGACTCGCCTGCTGTCGCCGCTGTTGGTAGGAGTGTATCGGCGCTTTGTGTCCACTGGGTGAGAAAGAAAGCGTGTGGGGATGGACTGGGGCGAAAGGGGAGTGTATGGGGGAGAGAGCTCGTGTGTTTTTTGTGCGTGTGTGTGCTGCCGGACCCATCTGTGAGCCACCTGCTGCGGCGATGGCTGTTGTCTTAAGCATATCGGCGCTTGGCGAATCTGCTGGTCGGGTGTGAGGGAGAGAGGGAGTCCTTGCTGGAGGATCCGAAGTGTGCCTGCTTGTTGTCTTTGCCATAGGCCATCTGACTCGCCTACTGTTGCGGCTTTTCGCACAAGCATATCAGCTCCCTGTGAATCTCCGAGAATGCAATTTCCGCTGCCTTTTTCACCACCCTGCTGTATGTCCTATGCGTGTGCGCATTCTGCTGAGAGTGTCATGTAGGGCCCTTCAGCAGCAGAAGACTATGTACGTAGCCAGTCTTGTGCTGAAGGGCTCGTCACATAGTCTTCTTCACTCGCCTTCATCTCCCCCTCTCTGCTCTCATAACACGCTGCCATCTCCCACCTTACTCTCTCTCTCCTTTCTCACACTCTCCCAAAATCCCACCCCTCCCTCCATCCCCCATTCCTTCCTTGACTTCTGCATGTAACCCCACCACACAGTGGCAAGTGCAGTGTGGTAACCAGCTGGAAGATGCTCTTCCAGCACCTAGATATTGTCGCCTCTCGCCTCTCGCCAGCTGTCATCGTCTCATTCGACCACGTCCCCCTGCCGGGCGGCGCACCCATGCCACCCCAAGTCCATGCGGCATGCCAGCGAAAACTACTGTTCATTCGCAACCTGCCTTCCGCCGGACCTGCAGGCTCGGCGGCAGGCTTGGCAGGCTCGCTGTCAGCTGCATTAGGCCCTCCCGGAGCAGCAGCTTCGGCAGGGCAGCTTGGCTCGGCAGCGCAGCAGCAGGGGCCCGACCCTCAAGTGGTTTGGCCCATACCTGAGGCATTCTGGCCGGATTTCACCACTCCTTGTACCGCTGCTGTGGTAGTAGGGTCGGGGCAGGCACAGGGGGAGGGAGAGCGAGGGGAGAGAGGGGAGAAAGGGGAGAGGGTGGTGTTAGGAAATCTAGGTCCTCCTGTGCTCGCCAGCCCTCCTCTCTTCCCCCCTCGCGACCCGCACCCGGTGATAACCTATCGGGCGGTGGATACTGACGCACGTTTGCCGCCCGGGATAGTAGCAGACAAGTACGAGATCGAAGGGTGCCCCATCCTGGGGTTTCTCAGCAAGGCTGGGCCCAACGTGTGCTGGCAGGTTAGTTTTTTACTGGGGGACAGGTTGTTCCGGACAGGTTTTTACTAGACAGGTGATACTTGGGCAGGTATTATGAGATCGAGGGGTGCCCCATCCTGGGGTTTCTCAGCAAGGCTGGGCCCAACGTGTGCTGGCAGGTGGGTTTACGGAAGGTGGTACTCAAAAGGGTGAACCACAGTGAACAAGTTTGTCACTGAAACAGCAAGGCCGGGCCCAACGTATGCTGGGAGGTGAGTCCCAGACTCGGAGAGGAAGTTAGTGCGAGGACAGGTGATTCTTGGCTGGGCATACGATCAGGGGTGTCCCATCCTGGGGATCCTCAGCAGGGCTGGGTGTAGTCTGTGCTGGCAGGTGGGTTTAGGGAGGGTGGGTCTGTAACAGGTGGTACTTGAGAAGGTGATATTCAGACAGGTGGTTTCTGCACCAGTTTGACGTTTGAGAGAGGTGCCCCATCCTGGGTTTTTTTTTCCAGCAAGGCCGGGCCAAAACCTGTGCTGGCAGGTCCATTGGGGCAAGTGGTTTCTTAACAGGTGGTCGTCGTTCAGAAGTCGCTTTGTTTGTTGTGCTCTTTGCTTTCCCATACCTGGTTACCCGGTTCCTGAAGTTCCTAGTATTCGCTGATATGTGCATGATGTGTGTGTTCGCGCCGGCAGGTGTTTGTGCGGGGGAGCAAGGGTCCGCGGCACGGCCTCGGGGATCCCTTTGGGTGAGTCGCTGTCTTGTGCACGGCGGGACCTGTCACCCCTCCCTCGTACATCGCAATGGCCACTTGAACCTGCATGTTTCGTTGTTGTGCCTTGCACTGTTTTCTCCATTCGCAGTGCTCTTTCACTTCTCTCTTTCTTTACTTCGGCTCAATCACATGGCTTCCGATCTCCTCCGTATCCCCCGGTTCTCTGTCCTCAGTGTTCTCCTTTGTGCTCCATCCGTGATCCCCATCCTATGCATGCAACCATGCCTGCAGCTATCTGAGAGTGAACCGTCCAGGCAGCTCACTGACTCTACACGTCCTGCCGTACAACTACCCTGTGAGTTTTGATGCCGGCTTTCTGTTGCCCTTTCCTGCCAACCAAACATTGACCCTGTTTATCAGATTTCTCAGCGCACCGTGCCTCCTTCGATATTCTTGTTTAACCAATCAAGGTCACACCTTCTCACCTACATAACCCATCTCTTCTTTCTCACCCATTACCCTGCAAAATGTAATGCTTGAGTAAGTACCGCTCTCTGTCCCCCCTTCACCTCTCCCTTTCGTCCAGGCGCTTTTCCCTCTTATAGAGCAACTCCAACGAATGCCGCCCCATTCAAGAGCCTCTCCCCCGGTCGGCTGGCGGCACGATTTCGAGCGTTACTGTGCCGGCGTCCCTCCGTACTATGCCGCCCCGCTCCGAGCCGCGCTGCGCAGGCTCGGCGTGACAGCGGTAGGCTCGGCGGTACCGGACCTGATGGATGCCAGCCTGGCAGCAGGCCCAGTGGCCTCGCAGCTTCGGCGGTGGCGTGTGAAGGCGAAAGGGGAGATAGAAGATCGGCTGCAGGAGATTGCAAAGGTTGGTGGTTTGTGAAAAGAGGGAGGGGGTAGAGCCTAGAGGGGAGTAGCCACAAATGGGTGAAGGCGAAAGGTGAGATTGAAGAACGGCTGCAAGAGATTGCAAAGGTAGGCGGCGCGGCTTGTAAAAAGGAGGGGCTAGAGGTTAGGGGGGAGTAGTCACTAATGGGTGACAGCGAAAGGGGAGATTAATGAACGGTTTCAAGAGATTGCAATGGTAGGCGGTCTGACAAAATGGAGAGGCTAGAGGGTAAGAGTCATAACTGGGTGAAGGCGAAAGGGGAGATTGAGAGGAACAACTGCAAGAAAATTGCACGGGTAAGAGAGGTTAGGATAGTGTAAGGTGATGGAAGGGGAGATTGAGGAGTGGTTGCTTGAAGGGTATTGGCAAAGTAGGGTTCATGGGGTCCTTGGTCGATTCAAAGTCTGCCTCCTTACACACTTTCTCGCTGTGTTAGGTATTTGAGAATTCTCAAAAACCTAACACAGAGAATTCAAAAAACCCCCACACAGAGAATTCAAAAAACCCTAACACAGAGAAATCTAAAAACCCTAACACAGAGAAATCTAAAAACCCTAACACAGAGAGTTCTAAAAACCCTACACAGAATTCTAAAAACCCTAACAGAGAATTTTAAAACCCTAACACAGAATTCTAAAAACCCAAACACAGAGAATTCAAAAAACCCGAACACAGAGAATTCTAAAACCCCAAACGCAGAGAATTCTAAAAACCCTGACACAGAGAATTCTAAAAACCCTGACACAGAGAATTCTAAAAACCCCAAATGCAGAGAATTCTAAAAACCCTAACACAGAGAATTCTAAAAAACCTGACACCGAGAATTCTAAAAACACTACCACTGAGAATTCTAAAAACCCTGGCACAGAGAATTCTAAAAACCCCGACACAGCCTCCTTGCGCACTTTCTCCCTGGTCTCCTAAGAAACCATCTCTAAGTGCTTTCTTCCATTTCACCAAACTTCTGCGGCATTTGTTTTGCCGTGCCCGTTTGCAGACGGCCAATCAGATGGCTCAATCTGCTGCTGCTCGCCCGCCTCCTCTGCCCACACTCTCCTTCAAGATCCCTCTGCCCTCCGTGGCACCACTCCCGGCATTCCTACCGCCACCTGACAAACCACATCCACAACGGCAGCAACAGCAGCAGCAGCAACAGCAGCAGCAGCACCAGCAGAAGCAACTGCATCAGCAGCAGCAGCAGAAGCCACTGCAAACGCAGCAGCAGCAGCAGCAACAGCAATACCACGTAGTGCAGCTGCTTCCACCCCCGCCGCCACCTCGGTCCTTCCCTGTCTTCCCCATCCCTCCACCCCCCGCCGCTCACTCCCACCCGCCCTTTGCCTCGACCAATCCACACGCTCCATCGGACCCTCCTTCCCTCCCTGTATCTGTGGAGGTTGGGGAGGCTGGTGTTTCCGGTGGTGCTTACAGTGCTGCTTCTTATGGTGCCGGTGCTTATAGCACTGGTGCGTCTAACGGTGGTGCTTATGGTGCTGGTGCTGGTCCTGCTAAGCCTGGTGCTGCTGCTGGTGGTGCTGCTGGGGGGTCAGGGGCGGGTTTGGGGGGTGTTGGTGCAGGGGGGGAAGGGAAAGGGCGCCAGGCAACCATCTTCTCGAATCCGTTTGAAGTTTCACGAGAGGATTCGCTGAGGTGAGTGGTTTGGTTTGCTATTGAGAAGTTTCACGAGAGGATTTGCAGAGGTGAGTGGAATGCTTTTGAGTCGACTCCAAGTCCTAAACTGAGATGCCTCAAATTGCGGCAGGCAAGCCCTCTCTCGATTTTCAAATCCATTTGAAGTTTTAATCACAGTACTCCCCTGCACAGTTCTAATCCTGCTCACAGTACACCCCCGACCTCTCCATTCACACCCATTAGGCGAGCGCTTCAGCTGCCACAACAGCATGCCGCCTTCTCAGCAGCGACCACCATTCCCCCCTCTCTCCCCTCCCACCCCCTCCCCCCCTTCCTCTGCCCCGCCCTCTCCTCTCGCACCCATCAGGCAAGCGCTTCAGCTGCCACGTCACCATGCCGCCTCGCCTTCTCAGCAGCAGTACCACTCGCTTTCTGCCAACCATTCTCCCCTCTCTCCCCCCTGCACCCCCTCCCACCTTTCCTCTGCCCCCCCCCCTCTCCTCTCCCACCCACCAGGCAAGTGCTTCAGCTGCCGCTTCGCCTTGCCGCCATTCTCAGCAGCAGCAGCAGCAGCAGCACAGTTGCTGGCAGCGCACTCGGAGCATCTTCCGCACAGCGGTCCACACTATCTCAGCAGCAATGGTCGAAGAGAGCTGGCCAAGGGGCGAAGGGAGAAGCTTTCGCGCTAGACCCCATTCAGGAGGAACGGGTGCTGCTGCAGGGAGGGGGGGGTCGACCAAAGGGGGAAGCTGCGCCTGCTTCTGCAGCAGCAGCAGCAGCTAGGGCGCCGTTGTTCCCTGGTGGTTATGACGTGGACAGGTGGCGGGCTCTGATTGGCGTTGTGGGGAAGTGGGCGCTGCTGGCCGAAGAGGAGGCGAAGCACACAGTCAGCATTGAAAAGGTGCTCTTGAGATTGCACAGATTCTCCTGACTGGCAGATCTTTTAGGCGCCTAAAATATCAGCACTGGCAGATTCTCCTGACGGGCAGATAGGTTTCCCGTGTTTCGGTTTCCGGTCTGCCAGGTTTTCGTTTTGAGGCGTCTCAAAACTAGTTTTCGTTCTAAACTTGTAACAACAAAAAAAAGGGACCTGTTTTGTTTCTCTGGGAGGCACTGGCCTCTTTTTCTCCGCTTCAGATGGGCGATCTCAATAACGAGCTCCAGGCACTTATGAGCGCCAGCAGCTTTTGAGGCGCCTGCCAACACCGACCTGCCTTCTGTCCTGCCTCATCACCTCCTCCCCCCTTCCTCCCCCCACCCCCCCCTTTCAGATGCATGATCTCAATACCGAGCTCCAGGCGCCTGCCAACACCGACCTGCCTTCTGTCCTGCCTCATCTCCTCCTCCCCCCTCCCCTCCCCCTTCAGATGGGTGATTTCAATGACGCACTCCAGAGGCAGCAACCGCCGCGCAGCCCCTACGTATGTACAAGTCCTGTTGTTTCTACTCAACCATTAACCCGTCTGGTTTTGAGTTATGAGTGGTGCCTTTTGATGCCTAGCTGGTGGCCCTTTCCGAATCAGCTGGCACTTGGCCCGAGGTAGATGCCATTCTTCTCACAAGCTCGTTTCCCACTGACTCCTTGGCCAGCCCTCGATCAAAGCACACAAACCGACTGCCGTCCCTTTTTACGCCTTCTTCCTCGTGTCGGACTCCCCTCTCACCTCGTGTCCCCCCTCACCACCTCCTCCTTGCTTCATCACTTTGTCCGGCACGCTCGTCTCATGGCCCCATCACTTATCCCACTCTCTTCCCTCTCCTCCGTTCCTCCGTACTCGCAGATCGACGATCAGGATCGCATCAAGGCAGCACGGACGGCCTTTGGCAATCCGTACCGGCAGGACAAGCCGGACATGCCCACAGCCAACGAGGCCTTCCTGCGCCTGGACGAGCAGAGTGCAGGCGCACCCAGTGCAGGCTCTTCTGGCGCTGCTAGCAGTGCTGCTGGTGGTGGTGGTGCCTCTGGCGGTGCTGCTGCTGGTGCGTCCGGCAGTCCTAACAGCCCTGCGGGTGGGGCGTTTGGGGCGGGGGGCGGCAGCAACGCTGCTGCTTCTCCCAGTGTGCTGGCTCTTGCCCGCGCCCAGAAGAGGCGGCGCCGGTCAGAGTCCCCCGCACCGCCGTCTCCATCCCCCCCCATGTCTCCTCACGCCTCTCCTCCTCCCTCTCCCTCTCCTCCCTCTCACACTCCCTCTCCCGCTCCTCCCTCTCACACTCCCCCATCCTCGCCTTCACCCCGTGCATTACCTGTCCAAGCCTCACCATCAGCTCCTGCTGCGCGCCCAGCCGCTCAAAGCGGCAGTCTGGAGGGGCTAGTGCCTCCAGCTGCCGCTGCTGCTGCACCTGTTTCTGCTGCTGCTGCAAGCTCTGGTCCAACTGTTGCCCGACCACCAGGCATTGGTGCCGCTGCCTCTGGTTCCCGTCCCGCTCCAGCAGCAGCAGCAGCAGCAGCAGCAGCAGCAGCAGGTGGAAGAACCTCCGTACCTGCACCATCCACTCCCACGGCCACTGCAGCAGCAGTTACAGCAGGAGCCACAGCAGCAGTTGCAGATACACCCGTCGAAGCAGCTACAGCTGCAGGCTGCGTTGATGCAGCAGCAGGTGCTGCTGCTGCTTCTGCAGTAGCTCCTGCTGTTTCTGCAGTGGCGAAGCCACCAGATCTCCCTCCTGCCACTCGCACCACCGTTGCTCCAGCCTCGGCAGAAGAAGTCAAGCGAAGCGAGCTTAGCCATCCACTGTTCATGCCGGAGAGCTGTTACCGGGCGGCACAAGCAATGGAGAGGAGACAACAGAAGGCCATGCAATGGCCCAGAGGAGCAGCAGCAGGGGAGGATCGAGGAACGGGGCTGGGGAGACGGGTAGGAGCAGCTGTAGAGGGTAGAGAAACTGGGGCAGCAGGGGAGACAAGAGAAAGGACTGTAGCAGGGGAGGGTAGAGGAGCAGGGGAAGGTAGAGGAATAGGGGAGGGTAGAGAAGGAACGGAAGGTAGAGGAACAGGGACAAAGAAACGGAGGGTGATAGGGGAGGGGGAGTCACGGGAGTGGACCGTAGATTTGGGACTGGAGGAGAGGGTGGAGGAGCAGGAGGGGGTTGTGGCGTTGGCCATGCGGAGGGGCAATCCTCTCTGGCGCACTGTGCGCACGCCAGCTGGCAATGAGAGGGACCAGGAGGAGGTGGTAGACTTCTTGCTGTCGATTTACCGCGTGCTGCGGTCAGCGCGTCCTAACAACACAAAACAGGTGCGAGGAATGAATTTTGGGGGAGGGGGTGAGAAATAGGGAGCGGTGGAGCGAAAGTTTTTGCTGTGGTCGTACTGCTGTATTAGGAAGCTTGTCAGGACATATCTGTATATATCTGAACGTGGCCTCACCTTTGCATTGGCGTTTTTTTGCAGCTCTTTGCCCTTCTCTCAGTTCCCGACTTCCCCGTGGACAAGCACCATTTTGTACAACAGCTTGTGGAAAAGGTATGGTGGTTAATATTGTTTAAAAGTGTGTAGTGTGTGAACTTTTGTCCAATACTCCCCTCAATATTTCTCTTATATTTTCGTTTTTTGGGGCTTGCAGGCACGTAGATTCAACAAGCCGTTCCTTGTGAGGGAGCTGTCAGATTACCTTGCAGCTCCTTCAACATGAGCATATTCTTTGATCAGACAATATTGTATTGTGTTTTGTTATACAGTTCGTGCTCATCACGAGCATCAATATATCGGCTTATCTTCGGAAGTGCCTGAGCAAAATGTAATCCAGGTGCTGCGGAGAGCAGCCTCTCATGTCTCGCTCTCTGCTGTGCTGTTCGCTTGGCGCGCTATTATTCGTCCTGGTTTTCACTTCCCTAATCAGAATCTGCCAAGTCAGACGCATTGTGGAATGCGCCTCCGTTCAGCGGCTCGTCGTTTGGGACCACCCCCCATCATCACGCACCAAGGCGTGACCAACCAGCTCCCTGCCAGGGCCTTGGGATGATCGGACTTTCTGTGCTGGAAAGTTCTGTCTCCCCAACATCAGCAATCTTCCGAGCCGCGAGGGGAGGAACCGGGCAGGTGAGGAACATCCTGAAAATCATCCGCCAATCAACAGCGAACATTCTGCTTTCTTAGATTCTGGATATTTCTGTTCTGGTCTCTCACCCTGCAGCACCGCACTGCACCACCCGTTGCTGCTGCTCCTTGCTTGTGCTGCTCCTCAGGCTGTTGCTTGAGAAAATTTGCTGCTCCTGCCTGCTGGTGATTGCTGAAATCACTCATGGCAGAGCCTTGTTGCAACTAGCATTTCGGCTATATATTCAGCAGCAATAACGAAGGAAGTGTCGCTCCTTCGGTCTAGGCGAAACCACTTCCCTTCGAAGGCAGCAACCACGAGCCTAAGCCTTACCCAGCCCACCATCAGCAACAGAAGCTACTTGCTGTCACCCCTCCTGTCAATCCTAGCAAGAGGTCGACCCTTCTTGTCAAGCACTTTCTGCTCTTCTCCACGCACTACCGCGGCATTATGTCTTCCGCTATAACTGCCACCATGTCGACATCGATCAGACCCTCGTTCCTTGGATCTAAGGTAGAGCTCCTCAAGGGCCCCGATGCTGCTGGAGCTCGACTGACCATGCGGGTGGGCCCGCGGATTGCGTCGTCTGTCAGCGTGTGGAAGGGCGAAGCCGAGCGCCTTGAAGCGGTCTCTGCTCGCTCCGGACGGTCGCAGTTCTCCTTCCTCGTCGGCGAATATCCCGACGAATGCGGATGGCGCTCGTCAGGGCTTTCTGTCGATCCTGAGACGTTCGCCAAGACGACAGCACTCGAGGTACCTATCTCCCCTTCCCCACCTCTCCTCCTCCACTCTCCCTTCCCTTACCGCCACCCTCCCTTACCCTGTCGACGACGGCATCAACTCCCCGTCACTTTCCTGTTTCCCAGCTTAGCTTGGCGTGTTGGGCTCCGGCTGCTTTACTTCCTTCCTTGTTTCTAACATATGACTTCTCGTTATGGCTGTTTGATCTCCTTCCAGGTTATTCACGCTCGCTGGGCCATGCTAGGCGTCGTCGCGTGCCTCGTCCCAGAGACAGCGTCCCGGATACTTCAATCCTCGCACCTCGCTAGCAGCAACGGCAGCATCGGCAGCTTCACTCTAGGAAGCTCGATCCTCAACACCACGACCAACTTCATCGGATCGTGCAACCTTTGCACCGTTGAATCTATCCTCGCTATTGGCGCGTTTCAGCTCCTCTGCATGACTGCAGTCGAGGGATTCCGAGTCGCAGGGGGGCCTCTCGGCGATGCAAGCGGCTCTGTTTATCCTGGTGGCTTGTTCGATCCGCTAGGCTTCGCAGACAGCAGCAATGCGTCTGAGCTGGCGAAACTTAAAGCCAAGGAGCTGCAGAACGGACGGCTGGCGATGTTCGCTATCATGGGGTTCGCAGCACAGGCAGCCGTTACCGGGAAGGGACCAGTGGAGAACCTGATGGAGCACATGGCTGATCCCAAGGTGCAGAATGCGTGGGCGTATGCAGAGAGCTTGTTCCAATAACGGGAGTCCGTAACTCTGAGCCATGGTCAGCATGTAGAGTTGTTTTCCTCTCTTGTGTCCTTCCATGTACATTCTTTATGCCCTTCTGTAGCTTTGAACGGTATGGGGTATGGCATACCTCTCGTGGCCTTGCTGCCTAGGTGTATGTCTTTATGTGGTGGCCTCATTTTTGTATGAAAGTAATTAGCCTCAATAAAGAGCTGCAAAATAGAAGGACGGATTCCGGAGCGGTTGTCAGACCCGAGGTCGACCCGCGGCCGAAGAAGCCGCGGGCTGTCACAACCTAGCTGCGGGTTTTCTTTTATTGACGGTATAGCGGCTGCACAGTCGCGAACCGTCGCAAGGGGAGGGTTGCGACCATACTGGCCGAACTTTGCAAGTCCACCAGAAATTGGCAAGTTTATTACTGGTGGAAGTTCATTTGCGCGACATTGTTAGTTATTTGGTTTGACAGCTGACTGGTTGGAGCCGTCAGTTTTTCGCAAGACCCGAGGCAATATTTTCCCAGCCTCGGATCTTCCCGCTAAACCTTCGGGTCTAACCCTCGCTGCGGAATACGCCCTAGCCCAGATATGACAGTTGGGCTGAGCGCGGAAGTGCTCCAACAGAGGAGGCGTGTGGTGCTTTACGTTACGGAACGGTACAGAGCGCTTCACACTGCGGCTGATGAGGGTGTGAAGTGACTGCTGCGGGCAGGCATTTCCTTGTGAAGGGTTTCCGGATTCGCGAATGTCGTGAGCACTTTCGATCGGACTCGACAGTAGGCGAACGTTCTTTAGGGATTTCGTTGCAGGTGCGAGTGAAGTTCTCCTGCAGGAGTTCTGAGCTCTCCTCACAGCTCCACAAACGGGACATTTGCTAGACATGGCACTGCGACTCGCGTCCTTCCGTTCGTGTTCCGTCGTCTTGCTGCTCCGACAATCGGCATCCAGAGGATGGAATCAAAGCGCGGAAGCGTCACTTTTTTGGGAGCGAATATGCGGATAGGAAGAATCGCAGATTGTTACAACCCAGCTAGCGTAGTCTTCATCTTTCTTCGTTTGGATAAGGATTCGTAGTTATGGAGGACTCGCTGCTCAATGACGTGTTTGGACCGCCGTCACCGCCACCCGATAGCCCTGCATCGCCTTCATGCTCCCCTGTAAGCTCCCTGAGATCCACATCTCTGGACTGGACCCTTGACCCCCACCATCACTGCCTTCCAGCTCTCCAGTAGTCTCCCCCAAGTCTATAACGTCGGACTACAGAAGAGCTTCGGCTTCGCCCTTTACCATGTCCCGCGTTCCTTTGGTTCTCCTTTCAGGTCGCGCTTCGCGACTGCAGCGAGTGTGACTCTATCAGAGGGCAAGGCGAGCGGGAATGGACGCGTGTGGAACAGGTGGAGGGGCTGTGGCTATGCCGAAGGTTTCTTACAGCGAGGGAGCAAGCCATTGTGCTGAATGCCATAGAAAGGGGTACGCCTTCTCAACCCTCGTTCATCTGGGTTGGTTGATAGAGTATGTCATGAGGTAGCACTCTGCTCCACAATACTGAAGTTTGTGTCACCGTCTTTGTTTTCTTTTCTTCTCCTTTAAATTCCGGATTGACACGTTTCTATGGCTCTCTCCATTCTGCTCTGCTGTTCCCCCTGTCTTTGGATCACCCCCCGCATCAGAGAAATGGTTCGACCCACCAGTCAAGAATCAGGTCAGCCAAGTGCAGCGTGCGATCGGGTTGTTGGTATGCTTAAAGTCTCGAGTGAAATTTCAGGCCCCGCATGAGAGAAATGGTTCAACCCACCATTTTCAACCCACCAGTGAAGAATCAGGTCAGCCAAGTGGAGCATGCAATCTGGTTGTTGGTATGCCAAAAATGTCAGGTGAAACTCGCTTTATCATCCTTAAGACTGTCTTGTGGCACATCTCTCTTTCTTTTTCTCACACACTGGCTTTCCTTGTCTTTTCTCATAGTGCGTACAGATCAAATCATTCACCATCCTAGCTTAACATCCTAGACTTTGCTTATTCAAGTCTCTTGACCTGCCAGGCTTCCCTCTGTTCCCCCTCCGTTTTATCTATTTCACTCTGCCCGTCTCCCCCTCAGGCCATGCGCTTTGGCAGCCTTCCCTCCGATTGCTGCTCACCTGGCCCAGCTCTCTTCGTCTGTTCCCCTCTACCTCTTAGTCTGTCCTACTCTCTTCTCGTCCCGTCCACCTGTCTCCTCCTCAGGCCATTCGCTTTGGCAGCCTTCCCCCAATTGCTGTTCGCCTGACCCAGCTCGTGCGTGCTGCTGCGTTGGATCGAGCAACAGTCGCTGCTCCTGCGGCTGCTGGTGCTACTCCTGTTCCTAATGCTGCTGTTTCCAACCATGCAATTTCGATTGCTACTGCCACTGCTGGTGCTACTCCTATTCCAAATGCTGCTGTTTCGAACCATGCGATTTCGGTTGCTACTGCCACCGCTGCAGATCGTACCATTTCCGCTGGAGCAGTAGCAGCAGGTGACAGAGCAGCTACAGTGCATAATTCGGCTAATGCTTGCTGTTGTAACGGAGATGCTACTAGAGGGGATGGAGCGGCTGCTGTTAGGGGAACGGAGGGTGGGTGTGGGGTGATGAGCGCAGAGAGGAACGGAGGTTGGGGGAATGGTGAGCAGAGTAGGAGGGAGCCGAGTGAGAGGGAAGGAGGAGGGGGAGATGGTGAGGGGAGTGGGAGGGGTCTGAGTGAAGATGGTAGTGAGGGGCGAGGGGAGGGAGGAAGTGAGGATGGAGAAGAACAAGGGAGGAGTGGGAAGGGTTGTCAGAAGAGGCGGAAGAAAGGAAAGCATGAGGGGGTGCTGGGGGATGCGGGGGAGAGAGAACAGGAGCGAGGTTTGCAAGAGGCGACAGGTTTTGATGAGTTGATTAAAGCTGAGTCCGAGCAGTTGCGGGCGGTTGAAGCTGAAGCGGACGCTGAGCAGTTACAGGTGCAGCCGCTGTCACGGCGTGTGCTGCAGCGAGAGCCATTGTTCGATCAGATGATCGCCAACTGGTACAGCGCACATGAGGTGAGGCGATTGGGGTGGGGAGAGAGGAGGGGTTTTAAGATGGGGGATAGGGATACTGTAGCATAAGCCGTTGTTCAATTGAATGATTGCCAATCGGTACAGCGGAGGTGAGGTGAGGCGTTCACCCATGCTGTTTTCCACCCATCCACCCATCCACCCATCCACCCATCCACCCATCCACCC